CTGGTACACTCAGCCGAGGCAGGTCCAGTCCCCTCCTTCCTACACCAAGACTGAGCAAAGTGTCCCAGTATAGGCCTCAGGCTCCAAAAAGCCAGCCCATGCACCAAGGACAGGTCCCAGTCCCACTGCCTGGGGGCCTCCCAAACAGTTCAAGCTAATCAACTGTCTCACTTATCCAGAGGGCCTGGTCCAGTTCCATGGGGGCTCCTCAGCTATTGGTTCACAGTTCATGCATTTCCACTAGTTTGGCTATTTGTCCCTCTGCTTTTTCCAGTCATGGTCACAATATCTCTCGCTCATACAATCCCTCCTCTCTCTCGCCAATTTGGCTCCCGGAGCTCCACCTGGGGCTTGGCCGAGGATCTCTGCATCTGCTTCCATCAGTTATTGGATGAGAGTTCTATCATGACAGCCAGGGTGTTCGGCCATCCGATCACCAGAGCAGGTCAGCTCAGGCACTCTCTCGACCATTTCCAGTAGTCTATAGTGGAGGTATCTTTGTGGATTTCTGGGGACCTCTCTATCACTCTGCTTCTTACTATTCCCCTGGGGTCTTCATTCATCATGGTATCTCCCTCCCCGTTCTCCCACTCTGCTCCTGATCCAGCTGGTACCTCTTGCTCTCCTAAGCTCTCTTTCCCCTGACCCTTGCCCTCCATTATCTCCCCCCCCCCCCCCCCCAGTTTGCTCATGTAGATCTCATCCATTTCTCTGTCGTTGGGCGATCCCTGTGTCTTTCTCAGGGTCCTCTTTACTAGGTAGCCTCCCTGGAGTTGTGAGTTGTAGTCTGGTTATGTAATTTGCTTTCAGCATACTCTCTCTCTCTCTCTCTTTTTTTTTTTTTTTTTTCCGAGACAGGGTTTCTCTGTGTAGCTTTGCGCCTTTCCTGGAACTCACTTGGTAGCCCAGGCTGGCCTCGAACTCACAGAGATCCGCCAGCCTCTGCATCCCGAGTGCTGGGATTAAAGGCGTGCGCCACCACCGCCCGGCAGCATACTCTCTTAAAACCGTGTTGGAAGTATGTTTTAGAGAAGTGTATGTATGTTAATAGCTCCTTTGCTCCTGGTTCAAGATTTCTTTTGTACAAAAGTTTTCAGTGCCCTTTGCTGTTACTTTTGTAGGTTAACATGGACTTTTTTCTAGTCCTATTGAATCTTGATAACTTTTGTTGGTGACAACAAAGCTAATTTTGGAAGGAGAATGCGGTCTCAGTTTGTTGCTCAGGCTGGCCTTGGGCTCAATGATAGTCCTGACTCACATTCTTTCCCTCAAGCTGATGTGTGTCTTAGCAGAACTCAGTATGCAGTGGTTTACAAGTATTACTGTACAGAACCAAAAGTACCTTTCTGTCATGCAATATTATTAATTACAATTTCTCTTTTGAAATGTATTTTCCTTTTTGAGACAAGATCTTTCTTTTTGGTAGCCTGAAGCTTGTGGTCCTCTTGCCTGTTATTCCTAAATGTTGGAAGTATAGGAGTAGAGCATGATACCTGGGCTGACCATTTCTCGTTTACAAAAATGCAATAATAATTTTTAGAAAAGAAAAACACCATCAATTATTTTTTCACCATTCAGATAGTTTTAGAATTTGATCATGTAGAACAGTAACTGTAGTTTATTTTTTATTAAGTTTTGCCAGTTTACCTTTTAAATAGGCGTTTCTGGAGCTGGCAAGGTGCCTCAGCTGTCAGGAGTATTGGTTTCTCTTCCAGAGGACCCAGGCTCAATTCTCAGAAACCACATGGCAGCTCACAACTGTCTGTGCTTCCAGTTCCAGGGGACATGATGCCCTCTTCTGGCCTCTGTGGGTACAGCACACATGTGGTACATAGACACACATGCAGACAAAATACCCATACTCATACAAATAATTAAATAAAACGTTAAAAACTAGATTTATAGCAAGCTAAAGACAGTTGTACTTATTCATTGATCATGGTTATCAGGTAGACCAGTTACTATACCCAACTGCTTTCTACTGTGATCTTCAGTGTGGTGAGCTTAATGGCTGAGGGAGATAAGAAAATGCTACCCTCTTAAATTTGAAGCTATCAAGAATAAATATGAAACCTGTGGCAGCAGGGGTCCTTCCTTTCAAGAGAACTAGTAAGAGAATTCGGTCTCTTGATTTATGAAGAAACTCAAAACTGAGAAAGTATTCCTGCTAGTAAGTTATAGAACAGATGGCAGCAAAGGGAAAGAGAGCCCCCAGGCTGAGTGTCGCTTGCTGTGCAGTAGTCCTCCCACCCAGCAGTCCTCCTCACCCAGCAGTCCTCCCACCCAGCAGTCCTCCCACCCAGCAGTCCTCCCACCCAGCAGTCCTCCCACCCAGCAGTCCTCCTCACCCAGCAGTCCTCCCACCCAGCAGTCCTCCCACCCAGCAGTCCTCCCACCCAGCAGTCCTCCCACCCAGCAGTCCTCCTCACCCAGCAGTCCTCCTCACCCAGCAGTCCTCCCACCCAGCAGTCCTCCCACCCAGCAGTCCTCCCACCCAGCAGTCCTCCTCACCCAGCAGTCCTCCTCACCCAGCAGTCCTCCCACCCAGCAGTCCTCCTCACCCAGCAGTCCTCCTCACCCAGCAGTCCTCCTCACCCAGCAGTCCTCCCACCCAGCAGTCCTCCCACCCAGCAGTCCTCCCACCCAGTAGTCCTCCTCACCCAGCAGTCCTCCCACCCAGCAGTCCTCCTCACCCAGCAGTCCTCCTCACCCAGCAGTCCTCCCACCCAGCAGTCCTCCCACCCAGCAGTCCTCCCACCCAGCAGTCCTCCCACCCAGCAGTCTTCCTCACCCAGCAGTCCTCCTCACCCAGCAGTCCTCCTCACCCAGCAGTCCTCCTCACCCAGCAGTCCTCCTCACCCAGCAGTCCTCCTCACCCAGCAGTCCTCCTCACCCAGCAGTCCTCCCACCCAGTCCCCTGCTACACACAGATCTCTCTCCTCTCTTGCTGTCAACAAACCTCAAAATAAACTTTTCTTCCTCTTTGTAATTAATTTTCTATATGCTTAGTTGATATTTAAAAATTTGTGTCCCAAGAATAAAAAGGTTCTGTGAAAAGAACTTTTAAGTGTCAGTATCTGAGACTTGTTACTGGTGCCCAGTAATGTTGATTTGTTCTTGTTCTTCGTTATTTTATGAATAGCTAAGATTCCTAAATAGTTGCTTTTGGAGAGGCAAAAGGTCACTTCTAAAAAAATATGTATCCATTCATGTCCGTGCATATGCCATAGCACACGTGTAGAAGTTAGGATAACTTGGAATAGTCAGTTCTGCTTCTACCATGTGCGTCATGGGAATGGCACTCAGGTCATCAGGCTTGGGTCCCCTTACCCATTGAGCTATCTCTTAGTTGTCAAAAAAAGTCATGAATTGTGTTTTAGGTATCCAAATTACTAAATACATAGTAAGTATCCATTGTTGATCTTTAGGTTGAAGTTGGCTTATCTTTCACTGTGGATTAATTGAAATTGTGTGTGTGTGTGTGTGTGTGTGTGTGTGTGTGTGTGTGTGTGTGTGTGTGTGTGTGTGTGTGTGTGTAAAGAGGGCAGCCTGTAGGAGGAAGCAGTTCTCTCCAAAGAGTGAATACCAGGAATGGGACTCAAGTCATCAAGCTTGATTGCAAAGGTCTTTACCCAGTCAGCCATTTTGTCTGCCCAGTTATTGAACAAGGCTTCATATATAAACTTAATCTGTATGTATATTCTTGAGAGGATAAATACAGAAGTTGTTAGATGGAATTTACACATTAAATGTGAACTACAAAGCCTTGCAACAATTTCGGAAAGCAAAGGGTTCTACATTATGGAAATTACTACTATGTATTATAAGAGTACATTCTTCATGCTTAATAAATTGGCCAAATGCCATGATAATACTGTTGCTTGAGGTAGGAGTTGCCCAGAAACAGTTTTTTTTTCTAGATATGTTCTTGTCATAACTGAGGTGGTAGCCATGTCACAAGGCCTCGTGTCTTTTTTCTGCTGCCACCTTTCTCCTTATGTTAGAAATTCTCCAGCTTTTTTGAAATTATTTTCAAGAGGTTTGTTCTGAAATAGCTGTGCTTTGATTTTAGTCATGAAAAAGAGGAGTAAGTTTACTTTAAATTTTGTGATTCTGTTAAATCTGAAAATTATTTCAGGGTAGTAAAAGTTTCTGTTAGCTGCCGTATTTTGTGTTCAAGAGATTTGTTTCCAAAATGGCACATTTTTAGGTTCTGATATTCTTGGAAAGTGGGAGCCTATATACATCAAAGAAGGCATTTTTATTACATTGGATTATGCAACACTTTGGCCAGCCTCCTTAACTTCGTCTGTTTGAGGGTTCCTTCTGGCTTGTTTGGCACAGGTCCCAGTAAGAGGCCTTCATACTTGTGGTTAGCAACATGAGTGAATCACAAACTCTGGAGGAGCTCTTCAGTTTGTAAAACTGGCTTCCTGCCAAGAAGGCAGTGCCTTGTATGGGTCAGGGCAAAGCTGTGATTGGTTGAGCTCTGCATTGTATAGAAAACATACTTGTGATGCCTGTTTGCCGCCTTTTAAAATAAAAACAAAAGAAAACACCACAAGCAGCAGGCTTCCAAGTCTGTCCGAATAGGAAGTAACAAAACACTGTGCAGGTTGTCCTGATGGCAGGGTTAGGCAATAGCAGTAATGGCTTTGAGCATGGAAGGACAAGTTGAATCTTTGACCTCCACAGTCAGATTGTGATGCATTGGTTATTGAATACCTGCCTGATTTTCTAAATGGTTTAATGAGATTAAAGAATCAGTTCTAAGTCCACATGGTTCCCATACTACTAAGCTTAGTGTAGACTAAGATCTACTCCTTAAAAATACCGTTGTTTTAAAAAATGGACATATTAGATGTTAAAGCATTTACTTTGCTGAAGGTCAGCATTTCTGCTTGCATTCTGAGATAGAGAATCCTGCTACGACTATAGGGGGTAAACCGTTAAGGCATTTCCAGTCTGACTTACTAATTATTGTGCTTCTTTTCATTTAGGCAAATACCCTTTCTGGATCTTCTCTTAGTCAGGCGCCAGCTCATATGTATGGCGGTAGATTAAATCCAAATCCACCCATGGCAGTTCTCATAGCTCAGTCTGACAGCAACCAAACAGGTAAAGCCCCTGCTGGTGGAAACTTCCTCTGTGTTAGGTCATTTTCTTAAAAAAGAGGGAGGGAGGGAGGGAGGGAGAGAGAGAGAGAGAGAGAGAGAGAGAGAGAGAGAGAGAGAGAGAGAGAGAAACAGAAAGATAGGTCAGATATATATATATATATATTCCCAGTTTGGCTATATGTTCCATATATTTTATTGATGTCAAGAGTCACTTAACAATTGTAGTCGTGGTGTATAGGGTGCTGTAGAAATGTACTTTGTGACTTGTCTGGGATACTAGGTGTTAAAAAATACAAAGCATAAGGATTTGCTGTGATAAGCATACAGATTAGCTGTCTACAGCTGTGATTCATTACTTTAACCGTAGAAATTAAAAGTGGCTGAGGGGAGGGCAGTACAAATTCAAACCACGCTTCTGTGCTGTAAAATTGAAAGGAATGAAAGAACAGAACATAATCCATGGCCTTCTACACCCACAAAAACATGTACAGACAACATTTTACATGCCACAGTTCAACAGCTCTCAACATCAACATGCCAGGTCTTCCCTTTCGTAACTGGAAAGATTCTGGTATGGGCTTGATGTGTATTTTAGGAAAACTCAGAGCAAGAGTTTGAAACCTCTTATCTAGTAAGAGACCCACTTTATCAGCTCTGAAATATTTACACTGCAGATCAAGATCTCGGAGACAATAGCCGAAGCCTAGTTGGTCAAGGAAGCTCACCCCGAGGAAGCCTCTCACCAAGGTAAGCATTGTTTATACTGCAAAGCTTAGGAGAGGAACACTTTGAGATTTAGAAACTTTGTTATCTTGAGCAGTGAAGTGTATATTTGTTGAGGCTATAAAAGCATTCTGTAGATAAGAAGCCTGTCTAGACAGTCAAGAAAAATGATTCTAAATTAATTGAAATGTTAATTTTAAACACATTGTTAGATTTCTAAGCTAAAGGGAACACATTTTCATGTTTCTAATCGGTTTGAACTATTTATCATTTGTATATTTAGCTTCTGGTATGATTAATGCATTGACTTGGGTGATTATTTTTTATCATAAAATACTGATACCTTAAGATACAAACTCAAGACTCACTGTTGGGTTACAGCTTTGGCTAAGTCTCCAGTTAGACCCCACAGATGAAGCTTTTCAAGCTCTCTGGTTCCTTGTAGATAGTTGAAACAGAGTAAAGCCAATGTGTTATGTGTTGCATTAAAATTTCTTAGGTTTTCTGTGATATCCCAGAACCATCCACTGCTATGTAATTTATCAGAGTGGGATTATGGAAGAACTGTAGGACTTCCCTTCTAAATGAGGGGCATGTTGTGGGGTAGCTGTCAGCTTTTTGAAGGGGGTGGAATTTAGTGGTGTCTATCTTCTCGTTCCATTTTCGACTTCTGCATCCTTCTCTAGTTGTTTTTTTCTGTGTTCTCCACTTTTATAAACTCTGCCTCACATTAAGTTGGTTGAGGATAAACACAGAAGGAAAAGTCAGTCCTGGGTTCTTTTCATGTAAGGGAGTGATGGATTCCACTGAAAACGAGACCCTTTCATACCCTGACATAGGAGAATCGTGTTGCCTATCCAGTTGGGGAGTGTTTGTTGAGGAGAACATCCTTCATCCTTGTAGGTAGTACTCCGGTACCTCATCCGTTTCCTAATGGGCCATCAAGTATATATACCTCATATAATTCCTGTAATGTGCAAGTATGTCAAAGTGATGCTGTTTTTCCGTATTAAATTCTGGAGAAAATATTCCTCATTTGGAAACTATGAATCTGAACTACAGAATAAAAAAGTTAAACCACTTGTCTGTGACTTTATATTGTATTTCTATACTGTTTAAATTTTTCTTTTCAAATGAGACTGTTAATGGAATTTTGCTTATTTAGTACAGGAAGAGTGTCCTTGTCCCTTTTAAAACTTAAAACATCACACAAGTTATCTAAAATGTATTCAAAATCTGTTAGTGCAATTTTGCTTAGTGAAATTTTTACTTTTTTTTTTAAAACAGGCCATAGCACAATGAATGGCACTAAATTATTTTTAGTGTGCATTTAAAATATTACATTACTCTAATCATCAGCCTGGCGTGGTCCAATTTAACCTTTGCATAACATATTTGGAAAGCGGTGGCCAGCTTATGATGTTCATATGTAGAATAGCACACCTCACTGCTTAAAATCCTTATTTTAAGAAATTGCTGTCTAACAAGCTTATGGCCAAGACAAGAACAGTAGTGCATTGCGTCTGTGAACAGGCCACTGCAGCCCTTTGGGAATTGACAGTGCAAGCATTCAGAATTTGCCCCCACCCCTCCGAGATCCCTAGACTGCCTTTCTCCTTATTTGGACATGGAGCCTGTAAGATCATTTTCTAGAAAATACTTAGGAAAGAAACTAATACTCTTTACTGATACATTAAGGTAGAATGGAGACCAGAGACCAAAGATGGCCCCATATATTAATGTAAAGCCAAAACTGGACATGAGAACATTATATGTTCATTTTCATTCAAGAAACATTTTGGAAGGACTAAGATCTCTTTGAAGAACTAACCTAAGACATTTTAAAAATACTTGTATAATCTGCATTTTACATATATGATTGTTCAGACTGAATATTTTTCTTTTCACTGAACTTTAGGATTTTATTGGTTATAAATTCAAATGTCCCTCATAGTGTTACACTTCTGATAGCATTTATATTAAGACAAAGTGGTAGAACTTTTCTGTTTTATTTTAATGTGTATTTATGCTTTGCCTGCATGTAATGTATGTATGTGTACCACATGAAAATCTAGTGCCCAAAAAGGCCAGAAAAGTGCATCGGATCCTCAGGAACTAGAGTTGCAGACAGTATGAGCCATCATACGTGTTGTGGGCACTAAACCTAGGGCCTTCTGCAAAAGCAGCAAGTGCTCTCAACCCCTGCGCTGTCTCTGCAGCCCCATCCTCTTTCTGAGTATTTTAAAAGTTCTCCTAATGTCTGTCTCCCCTGTTTGTTTATAGCCTATTTCACAGATTATTAGTAGTTTATTTTCTAGTGGTTTTTTAAAAAAATTATCTGCTATGTTCAGTTATTTTATAATTTAGGGAGGAAGAATGATAATGACTCAATTATGGTTTTATGAGACCTGATGCCTCTGCCATAGGCCACTTGGTACCAGACAATTTGTACAGGATGATGCAAGAGACCGATGCACAGCTACTTAGAAGCATTCCCTTCTTTTTTTTTAATTTGAAAATTAATATTTTTGACAGATCACCTGTGAGCAACTTGCAGATTCGCTATGATCAACCAAGCAATAGCAGTCTGGAGAATCTGCCTCCAGTAGCAGCAAGTATTGAACAGCTTTTGGAGAGGCAGTGGAGTGAAGGACAGCAATTTTTATTAGAACAGGGCACTCCTAGTGACAGTAAGTATTCATTTTCTTGTGTCTAAAAATGGAACAGCATTGGGTAGAACATCAGATAGAGTAATGGATGCAGAAGAAACTGTTTACCCAATATAATGATGACAGTATGGCATGTACTTTATGTAATTAGAGAGGGTGAGGTGCTCTGCTTTGACGGAGCCGACTCTATAGTGTTCACTCCTAACAACAGGCTCTCAGGCAAGTTTTGATTGGTTTGGTTTCATTTTTAAGTTCTTTAATCTCTTATTTTTGGAATTGGAAGTAAGACTATACCTGTATCCTAGGATTGTTAATGAAGATAAATTACATGAAAAATTGAAAAAAATGCCTTACATGCTTCTTGTTAGTTGGTTATTGGTTGAAATACAGCTTTGCTACTCTTTATCATACTATACTTTGTTCTTGTCAACTTGTGAAAATACACAGTATCTCCTCTCAGTCTAGTATTTGAAAAAAAATATGCCTACTCCCAGAGATCTTTTAAAACAGTGTATCTAGGGGCTGGAGAGATGCCTCAGCAGTTAAAGAGTGCTGGCTGCTCTTCCAGAGGACCCAGGTTCAATTCCCAGCACCCACATGGCAGCTCACAGCTGTCTGTAACTCCTGTTCCAGGGGATCTGACACCCTCACACAGACATACATTCAGGCAAAACACCAGGGTACATAAAATTCAAATAAATAAAAAAGGAAAAAAATGTATCTAGTCAGGTATAGCTAGGTATCTATTTTACAATTTAAAGGAATGGAAAGTAGGCAGGCATGGTGGTACCTGGTTCTAATTCTGACACTCAGGAAGTAGAAGCAGGTGGCACACGCCTTTAATCCCAGCACTTGGGAGGTAGAAGCTGGCGGATTTCTGAGTTGGAGGCCATTCTGGTCTACAGAGAGAGTTCCAGGACAGCCAAGGGCTACTTAGTGAGTCCCTGTCCAAAAGGAATAGTAATTCGTAAATTGTATATTTAATTGGAATGTTATTGATATTTGTGAAATTATATGGTATGTGTTGTATGTACATATTTAGTACTTCTGGTTTTGCGTATTAAAACCACCGGGGGGAAATGCAAAAAAAAAAAAAAAAAAAAAAAAAAGAAACCCACAAAAAACCCCAAAGTTGGAACAGGTGAGGGGAGAGGTGGTTGGTTTCTATCATTTTGGCATGGAAGCTTTCACTGCTTTGTTTCATGAAAACAAGACTTTTAAAAAAAATTGCTGGTGAACCAAGTCTTTAAATTGATATTTTTATGAATGGTGCCCCTACCTAAAACTGCTGATTGTGAGGAAATTGATGTGGGGGAGAACTTTTTACACATTAGCTAGAGGGCAGGTTCTTTTGTCTCATCTGGGCACCTGAAGGGGCATAAAGTTAGGTCTTGTACTGCTAGAGCTGTAGTTCTTTGGAAGGCCCTGAGGTCATGTTAAGCAAATACACCTTTTTCATCCCTGGAGTTTTTAAAGTGTCCATCACTGTGGCCTAACAGCAACATTGACTCTTGACTGTCAGTTGGAAGTTTCAGCCTTGGAGGAATTAACATAGATAGTATCTGAGGTGATCTGGCAGGGCAGGAAGCTTGTTAACAGGTGAGGCCTTTCTCCCTGAAGAGTAGTAGCAGGGTGCAGATACAGCGCTCCCTGCTGGGGAGCCTGCAGAGAGACAGGCTGAGCAGCTGGGCCGGCAGGCTGTCTGCCAGGTGTCTGCTGGCATGCTTGCTTTTTGTTGTTGCTGCTGCTACTTCTGTTACTGTTTTGGGGTTCTTGAGGAAAATAAAATGCCATCATTTCTCTCTGAGGATAAAAACTACTTGAACCTGATTGGGTTGGGGTTTTGTTTATTTGGACAACATTGGCAGCCAACCTTTATAGGGTCCATCTAGGAACAGTCTTCCTTTGTATATATACTCCTAAATATACCATGATGTTTTTTATATATCTACATTCAAATCTAGAAATAAATCTCAGTCGTTTAGTATTAGTTTACAGAATTTCCACATTTTTATTTTATTTCTAAAGCAGTTGACACTATGACCATAAAGTCTTAGTCATGAGAGTGGAGTTGTCTTTACTAAAATTCACAAAAATAATTTGCTAGTTTTAGGAATGCTGAAGTCATTACACCAACTTCAAGTTGAAAATCGAAGATTAGAAGAACAAATTAAAAACTTGACTGCCAAAAAGGAACGTCTTCAGTTACTGAATGCACAGCTTTCCGTGCCTTTTCCAACAATAGCAGCCAATCCTAGCCCACCTCATCAAACACATACCTTTTCTGCACACCCTGGTGAGTATGGAAGTACTTGGTTTCGAAGGAGAGCAGGCTGGAGTCCTGATGCCATCTGCACAGTAAACAGTAACCGGTTACTGCTTATGTGAAGATCTAGGAAGCAAATGGTGGGTTATTCCTGAGGGACATAGACAATCCTTGTTAATTGTCTTGAGTCTGTTTTCACTTCAGTTCATACTTTAATGGTAAAATTTATTTAAATGTAATGGTCTCATATTCAGTACAAACCCCCTCTCCCATTTAAATCAGTTTTAGGAATAATAGGAGTAGGCTTCAGCATAACTTTGAAAATAGCCTTTAATCTTACATATAATACAATTAATTTGACAGGGTACATGTTTTTTCTTTTACTATTTCTAGCACCTACTACTGATTCATTGAACAGCAGTAAGAGCCCACATATAGGAAACAGCTTTTTACCTGACAATTCTCTTCCTGTATTAAATCAGGTAATTTTTTGTGGTTATGTTCATTTGTGTATTCTACTTGAGAACAGTAGCATATTACATTCAATGATTTAAAATTACTCAAAGCAGTTTTGCTGTGCTCCTTCCAACCTAAGTTGTTATTCTTTCTTACCTTAGGACTTAACTTCCAGTGGACAGAGCACCAGCAGTTCTTCTGCTCTTTCTACCCCCCCACCTGCTGGGCAGAGTCCAGCTCAGCAAGGCTCTGGAGTTAGTGGGGTTCAGCAGGTCAATGGTGTGACAGTAGGGGCCTTAGCTAGTGGAATGCAGACTGTAACATCCACCATTCCTGCCGTGTCTGCAGTTGGTGGAATAATTGGAGCCTTGCCAGGTAACCAACTGGCAATTAATGGCATTGTAGGCGCTTTAAATGGTGTAATTCAGACTCCTGTCACAATATCCCAGAACCCTGCCCCCCTTCCCCACGCCAGTGTCCCGCCTAATGCAGCACATCCGATGCCGGCCGCTGCTGCACTGACTAACAGGTGAGAAGCTTACTTCAGTATAGTTTTTATTATTTGTTTTCTTTTTCATGCAGCATGTCATCAGTGTTGTCCTTGTTCTCGATTAGGATTGTTAATGTATTTTGTAGATGTTCACTAGGAAAAATGGCTACCTAAACTCATTGAGAGTAAGTGCTTGCTACTCATATTTTTTTATTAAGCTGATACAATTCAACTAAAAATCAGTTTCAGTAACATAATATTAAATACATTCGTGTTGAAAATGTCAGTCCCGATCTGTGATATCTGTCTTTAAATGTCACTTTTGAGTCCTTACTGTGCACATGTATCTTATTCTACAAAGATATTATTGTGGCAGTCATGTGATTGATACTGGTTCTGCAAGATTTAGCAGCACAATTTTGATATTCTCTAATCAAAAAAATTTTGATAAAGTAAGGGATAGATGATTATTACATATACTTTATTATAAACACATAAATTGTGTTTCAGTTTGTGCCTATTTAAAATAACTTCTTGAAAGTGCATTCCTGTATAGTTAATATACATGAGAATAATTTGTACATAATGAAGTGTTGTAGGTAAAACTGCGTTTGTTAAATACTCACTTTTCCGTCACACCGGAGAAGGCTGCATAGACGTAAGGATTGCGATGTTTTTCAGTGCCTCGGGACTAGGGTTACTGTCAGACCAGCAGAGACAAATATTCATCCAGCAGCAGCAGTTTCAGCAGCTGATAAACTCCCAGCAGCTCACACCGGTAAGTTCTTTGCGCAGTATTTTTTTTTTTGGTCAGGGTCTGTTGTTGGAGACTGTGATAGACGTTGGTTATGGTGTAGGTTCCTCCATTGTGAATGCATAGCCATAACGTTGTCTTGTCCTTTGACATACCTATACCATCACCTTTCCTGATTGTCTTACAAATGTGAAAACATGTGTTGTGGCTACATGTGACTAGGCTCTGGGGACTGGAATGCAAGCTGTATTTTCCTGCTGGTTTCCTCCGAGAGGGGAGGTAGTGAGTACTCACTCTTTCATTGGTGGTAATTCCAAGAGGGCTGGTGAAGTAGGATGAGAGCATTAAATGGTCCCAGGGGTGAAGTAAGGTGAGGCCGGTTTACTTCTTTTGTAGCATTGGGAGTAGAACCCAGAGCCTCACACATGATAGGCTTGCTGGAATAGCATGATGCTTCATCACCAGTTCCAATTTTAGATGGGCTGGTCCAAGCTTCTTGGGAGATGGCATTTGGAAGACTATTCTGTCACCTAACTCTGATAGTCAGGTCAGTTGTGCTGATCTTGCCTCGTCCATGCCCTGCTTTTCTTTCTTTTTTCTTTCTTTTTTTAAAAAAAACCATTCATTTATTACATATACAGTGTTCTGTCTGCGCGTATTCCTACGGGCCAGAAGAGGGCACCAGATCTCATTACAGATGGCTGTGAGCCACCATGTGGTTGCTGGGACTTGAACTCAGGACCCCTGGAAGAGCAGCCAGTGCTCTTAACCTCTGAGCCATCTCTCCAGCCCCCGTTTTCTTTCTTTTTTTTTCTTAAAGGATTCATTGGAGATTATTGAACTTGAACAATGATAATAGTGATCACGGGTTTGTTTAGAAAGATTAGTTGCTGTATGGAAACAATTTGTTTCCGAGGGGAAGAAAGATGGGCTCAACAGTAGAAATAGGGATCACTAGCAGGACAGTTGTGTCTTGATGTAGTGCCATCTCTGGTAAGATAACTGTAGAACTGTTATAGATTTTGAGGATAACAAGAAGAAGAGGAACCCTGAACTGAACAATTGAGTGTTGACTTTTACAGACATGTAGAGGAACAGAAGGGAAACAGTCTTCCCTTATCACATACAGTTCATCCTGCACACCCATGGGTTTCCCATCTGTCGATTCCTTTATCTGCAAATAAAAACTATTAAAAAATGTGCATCTGTACTGCACCTGCATATTCTTTTTTTTTTTTGCTACAATTCCTTGAACAGCACTGTGTAACTGTTTATATATTGTTTTCATGGTGTTCTCGCAATGATTTTACAGTATATGGGAGAGTACACAAGTTACATGCAAACACTCTGCCTTTGTTTGGAGACAGAGTGTTGATAGGTATCATTGACTGGCTTTGAATTCATGGTCCTCCAGCCTTAGCCCCCTCAAGTGCTGGGATTTCAGGCATGTGTCAGCAAACTTAGCTTTAACTATGTCCTAAAAATGGAGCCTGAAGTATACTTCTAATAGTTTAGTGTATGGGGTAGAGCAGTACACGTCTGTAATGTAGCACTTGGGAGTTAAAGCCAGAAAACCTCACCCCCTTGTCTGCCCACTGTCACCACCACCATTGTCTCTGCACAGATAGTGACAGTCTTCTCAGTCCACTGGTCATTCATTCTCCTGTGTCTTCAGTCCCATCTGACAGGTGGTCATTCCCTCCAACTGCGTGACATCACGGTCCTACCTAGCTGTCCTTTTTGTTTTCCATTTTGGATCTTCCTCTTTTCTTGAACCTTCTCACCTAAAAGTTGAGTTCAGCAATGTCCTCCACTTTCAGATGTTTCAGTTTGGTCCATGTACTTTAGACCTCTGTCCAGAACATCTCACTCTGTGTCTACCTGCTTACTCCATAGCTGCACTTGCACATCCTGAAGGGCATTTAAACATGTCCCAGACTGAGCTGCTACCATGCTTAGTTACCCCCACTTCCTCCAACTCCAGCTTTTTGCAAGTAAAAAATTGTAATTTTTTTTTTTTAACATATTACAGTGACTTCATCAAGAAATCCCTTCTCATTTAACTGGGTGTGGTGGCACACACCTTTAATCCCAGCATTCAGGGATGGAGGTAGGCACTCTACATAATGAGTTCCAGGCAGGACAGGGCTGCATAATGAGACCATATCTGTCCCACCCCCAAAAAGAAAGAAAGGAAAAAAGAAAGCTCCTTCCTCTGCTCAAAAGCTTTCTCCTGACTTCCCAGCTTCCCTCATGGTTAGGTGGGAGCCCTGTATTTTCCCCCCCTTAACCGCCGGCCAGCACTGCTTGCCAGCCTCTTTGAGCTCTTGTAGGCCCAGAATCTCTCTGCACAAGCTCTCACTGAGATCCTAGAAATGCCCTCCTTCCTCCTCATCCACTGGGCTAATGCCAGTGTGCTCCAAGTGTGTCCTGTGTTAACTTGACAAAGCTGCCCTGACTACTTACTGAATCCACATAATCTTTGTCTGCTCTTAGCAATAGTCACACTGTAGCATTGTTTCTCAGTCCTTAGGCAGGCAGGGACTCTGACCAGTATATACCCCAGACAGCTAATACAGTGCCTATCAGTCAGCACCCAGGAAATCTATCTGGAAAGGAATTTATGCTTCTTGAAAAGACAAATCCAGAACTATAGAACTAAATACTTGTTAGGAGTGGTTGGCAAGTTTTGGAAATGCTTGAGAAGAATTACTGGCAGGGTTTGACTCATGGATGCAATTTTAAAGTAGCTAATCATAGTGTGATTAACCTGTTTTTGTTGGTTCCTCTGCTACTGTGACAGAAGACTGACCAAAGCCACTTAAGGAGGAAAGGGTTTAGTTTAGCTGACAGGTCTATTATCTATGGAGACCACAGCACGAACTCTGCTTACTGGCTTGTTCCTCATGTGTAGGCGAATTGCTCAACGGTCTTATTAAATTAAATAAAAATTAAATAAAAAACATGGAGCCAAATATAGGGGTGAAAACCTGAGAGATCAGGGAAATAGGAAAAGCCACAAGCTAACCTCGCCTCACCCACACCTCAGTCTCCAAAGAGAGCTACTTCCTGTGTCTCCATGCCTATATGCCTTTCTGTTCTCTTTTCTCATTTACTCTCTCAGCCCAGCTACATCACTTCTTCTTCCTGCCCAGCTCTGTCACTTCCTGTCTGTCTGTACAGACCTCCAGACCTCTGTGGTTAGTGCTGGGATTAAAGGCGTGTGTCACCATGCTTGGCTCTGTTCCCCAGTGTGGCCTTGAACTCACAGAGATCCAGAGAGATCCCTGCCTCCCAAGTGATAGGATTAAGGGTGTGTGCTACCATTGCTTGACTTCTATGTTTACTTATAGTGGCTGGCTTTTTCCTCTGATCCTCAGGTAAATTTTATTGGGAGACACAGTATATCTCACCACATTTTCCCTTTTTTTGTCTAATAAAAAAGTAAAAAAAAGTTATAACTAATATAAGAAAAACTATATACAATAAGTACAATAACTATATACAATATATACCAACAGTAACTTCATCAGCAATGTCTAGTCCATTTGCATTTGACAAATTCAGCGAAAATATTCCATTATCTATCCTATTTTGGTGAGTCTAAAATGTACCTAATTCACTTTCTATCCTATCGTGTATTACCAACAGAAAACTATCTTATGATGTCTTTCAAATTTATACACTTTACACCTCTTTAAGTGAGTTTCTTTCTGAAATTGTTAACAGGGAAAACTGTAACTACAGCTATCTTAATCTTCAACTCCCTCAGAGACCCAAGAAGGAAAAATATTACCTAGTAAAACAGGAAGTGCAAACAAGTGACTTACAAAAAAATGTGAGTTATGACAGAAACAGCCAGCTGCTTGGACAATCATCCAAGGTTTCTCTGCAACGTTGGGGCATCATCTTCAGCCTACAGGCTTAGCATATCTGACAGACTCATTTGTGAAGCAGGATGTACACAAGGCCTACAGCTCGACCTCACATTCGGTGCAAGTATTCCATGTACCAGATAAAACTGAATTCCGCCAGTGCCCTGTCATGATTCAGGATTTTAAATTCTGGAAATTGCTGGTGTTTTTGGAATTCAGCTTCCCATTCTTCTTGGCTTGTAGGTGGCTTCTTCTCCTTTATTAAATGCCAGTCTACCATTGAGAGGCCAGACTCCGTCAGCCTAGTTACTCCTCCAAGAACAGCTGCTTCAGCTACTGTCCCACTGCACACCAGAAGCCATTGGCCCACTGCCTGCCCAGCTCCCCTCGAAGGAAGGGGCACAGTACCTTTTCCGGATTGTCAAGCCACTTCAGTGATAGTTCCATATTGCCCTGGCCTTAGAGGAGGCTTGTCAAAGCTGCAACCACACTTTATTTGGCAAGGATCAGCAGTCCTTTTTTTGTGTGTGTGTCTTGTGTGTCCGTGTGTCCATGTCCTGCTTGTCCATTTTGGACAGCACACTGTCAGCCGTCGATGTGAGGGTACTTTCTTGCCCAGTGGCTAACTTTGGCCACAGTGAAGGTAAACTCCATGTGGGGTTTTTCTTCTTCTTGGCAGAACTGGCCATTTGGGCAAGAAACTGTTCTTGCCTGGACTGCTTAACAAAATGTTATTTAAACTAGACATACAAGACCCATAGGAGGGTGACCACTGAGCTTTGCCAAAGCAAGGCAAAATGGTCCTTCAGGTTCCTCCTTCGCAGAGGAGACTGCCAGCCATTCTACAGGACACAAGAAAATGACTGAGAGACTCTAGCCCTGCGGGCTGAAGATGGATGCCCCAATGTTGCAGAAGAACTTTAGGTGACTGTTCAGGCAGGGAGCTGTCTCTGTCATTCTAGATTTTTGGAAGTTGCTTACAATGTATGTCCTGTTTACTTAGGTAATATTATATCCTCCTGGGGTCTTTGATGTTGTTGAAGACTAGATTTTCCTTGATTATGATAAAAGATAAATTAGATATGAAACTTTAGACTCAAAAATATAGGATAGATAGAATATTTTCACTAATTTTGCCAAATAGAAATAGATTAGATATTATAACTGTAATTCTTGCTTGATAACTGTTTTGTTACATGTAATTTTACTATGTTAAAGTTAAAACCTTCCATTTTGATTAGACAGAATAGGGGAAGTGCTGTGGAATGTCTTTCTGTATGCTGTGAATATGTGTTGCTGTGATTGGTTGATAAATAAAACACTGATTGGCCAGTAGCCAGGCAGGAAGTATAGGTGGGGCGAGCAGACGAGAGTTCTGGGAAGAGGAAGGGCTGAGTCAGGAGTCACCAGCCAGACACAGACGAAGCAAGATGTCAAGGCGAGACTGAGAAAAGGTACCAAGCCATGTGGCTAAATATAGATAAGAATTATGGGTTAATTTAAGTGTAAGAGCTAGTCAGTAATAAGCTTGAGCTAATGGCCAAGCAGTTATAATTAATACACGCTTCTGAGTGATTATTTTATAAGTGGGCCATGCGGGGGCCTGGCAGGACCAAAGAAACCTTCTTCCTACACTCATGGCTTGTCCAGCCTACTTTCTTATACACTCTGCCTGGAGGTGGCATTGTCTACAGTGGGCTGGACCCCTCTACATCAATCCCCAGACAAGAAAATACCCAATAGACTTGCCTACAGGCCAATCTGATGGAGGCATCTTCTGAGTTGGGGGTCTCTCTTTAGATAACATGCTTGTGTATGAACCAGAACCAAAGCAGCCCAGTGCCCAAACTGCTGCTGTTCCCATTCTCTGTGTTCATGATGGACAGCCTTATTTGAACACACCTCTGTCTTTGCTTAGTGTGTTTTAAAAATGGTCAATTCCCAGGTGGTCCTGGGGATTTCAATAGATGGTTATTACCTAGTGCAATTGCTTTTCTAGATGAGGTGGGCCATCTGTCTGTCTGTCTGTCTATCCATTCTAAACAGGCCTCATCATATAGCTCTGGCTGGCATGGCACTATGTAGACCAAGCTAGCCTGAAAATTAATAGAGATCCACCTGCCTCGGTTTGGTAAATGCTGGAATTAAAGGCCTGTGCCATCACACCAGGCCCTTGTTTTCTTAATAATGTGAATGTGATTTACTTTTAAATAATACTGTAAGAGAAAGAAATAAAAAAGGAATGTTTTGCTGACTGCTGTGTTTGCCAGCTAAAGTTCATCTTCTCTCCCCTGTTTGCTGAAGGAACAGCATCAGGCCTTCCTGTACCAGCTGATGCAGCAGCAGCACCATCCACCGGAGCTCCAGCAGCTGCAGCTCCCTGGGCCCACACAGATCCCCATCAACAACCTCCTTGCAGGCACTCAGGCTCCCCCACTTCACACAGCCACCACCAACCCCTTTCTCACCATCCACGGGGACAACACAAATCAAAAAGTCACAGTAAGTATGTTGTGTGATTCACCTCAGGAGGCAAGGATCATAGTGAGCAGAGATGGGTGCTCTTTAGCCAGTATTTCCTTCATAAAATCAGTTGTTTTAGCGGCTGGATATTGTAAACAGAGGGTCTGAGCCAATTTAATTTACATGTCCCTTAAGTATACCAATTTGATTTGCACATAGGTTGAAGGCCATTTGTAATACAGCGTTTCCTGAAGTGTTTTAGTTGCAAGATGAGACAGCCCATTCAAGACACATTCTTTCTTTTTTAAAAAGATAAATAATTTGATCATAGAATTTTTCTCCATTTAATTATATATATATGTTTTATTAGTTTGTTCCAACATGCTTTTTAAAATGGAGTTAGATATTTGATGTGGTAAATATATAAAATTAGGGCAATATTCCAAGCTTTCTACAAGATTCCTTAAAAAAGTAAATTGCTGTGCCAGAGAGATGACGGAGTGCTTGAGAGTGCACCCAGAGCACCCACGTTCAGTCTCCAGCACCCACAGCCACAGCTACTCAACTTCAACTCCCAGAGTTCCATGCCCTTTTCTGGCTTCTGTGGACACCTACACACACACACACATAAACCCACAGACACATAAGTTTAAATCTTCAAAAAATTAATCGTCATCACAATTTTAATAGAATGTAAAATTTAAATGGATTGATTTTTATAATTTATAAGTCATAGCATCTCCCCTTTGGGGATAAAAGTGAAGGTAGGTGTGGCTCATGAACAACATGCACACAGGAGCCATGGTTTAGGGCTGTTGCCTTCCGTTCATTCTCCCCAACCCAGTTGAGGACAGAAGGCCCCTGCAGTAGACCCTGGAGGCCGGGGGGTGTCAGGCGGGTGGGCACAGGACTGGAGACTGGGGGCACTGCTGTTGGCGTGGGCCGCTGCTTTGAGAGTTCCTCTTGTGGTTTAATTTTCACCTTTAGAAACATTGGCTTTCATTTAGTAATGAGTACTGGTTCAGAATCTGGGCTAGTTGAGAGTCCTTTCTGTTTGTCCCTTGCTCTGCCCGAGAGTCCTTTCTGTTTGTCCCTTGCTCTGCCTGCTTCCTGAGTGTGGGTACTGTCACCATGGATCGTGTCCCTTTCCCATCAGTGACTGTGTTTCTATGGACTTTGATACCATTCTCTATGCTTTTGCTCATGGATATTTTCCATATTTAAAATAGAGTAATTATAATCTAGTTTTTCCCAAGTTATGCAATAGGACATACTTTTAATGAAAGAGCCACAATAAATAATCAGAATAGCCAGGTGGTGGTGGCGCATGCCTTTAATCCCAGCACTCGGGAGGCAGAAGCAGGCAGATCTCTGTGAGTTCAAGGCCAGCCTGGTCTACAGAGTGAGTTCCAGGACAGGCTCTCCAAAAGCTGCACAGAGAAACCCTGTCTTGGGGGGCGGGGGAGGGGGGATGAGAATAACCATCCTCCTGGGGTGTTGGCACATGCCTATAAGCTTCTTGGGTGGCTGAAGCAAGAGGATCATCAGTTTGAGGCCTGAGTCATATAGAGAGACCTCATTTGTCTTTCTGTCCATCTGTCTGGGTCTGTCTCTCCCTCCTCCCACCCCATCTCAGATACAGTGTCTATACAGTTCTGGATGTTCTAGAACTCACTGTGTAGACCAGGCTAGCCTCGAACTCATAGAGATCCACCTGCCTCAGCTTCTGAGTGCTGAGATTAAAGGCGTGCACCACCATTCCTGGCTGAGACCCCATTTTAAAACAAACAACAGTGTTAACTGGAAGGCTGGGCTCTGAGGGAAGTCATGGAGTCCCTGAAGGTCCCAGGGTCCATGGAGTACCGTTGTTGTCCCATCATTAAAGTGGTAGGTGTGACCCTACTTACAGGCAAGAGGTAAAAGAGGTCAAGGCTTAGGAAACACGCCACAGTGGGGTCAAAACGATGGCGTTCTTAGTCCTTACAGACGCCACACTGCTTTCCTCCTGTGGACAGGTATATATGGGAGCCTTGGGAACTGCGTTCAAGGACAGGCACACCACCTTTATGCCTTTACATAGGCCCGGTGTGGTGTTTTTAAAGTCTTTGAAAATTCGTGTTCACTATGCTGAAAAGTAGCCAACTTCAGGGTAAATGAGAACATGTGCCACATTTTATCATCATAGTCCCAGTTAGAGGGCATCACCTCAAGGCTCGACCAGAGTTGATTGAAGGCTTCCGTTTGTTTTGTTTGAACCGCAGAGACTTAGTGATAAAGCGGGGCCTGGAGCTCAAGAGAAGAGTTGACGCTTGAAGAGCGTCCCTGCCTCTCCTGCTGCCCTGCACTCCACCAGCTGCTGCCCCGCTCTGCCCCATTCTGCCCCGCTCTGCAGGAAGGTGGTGGGCATGCACAGGAAGGATGCCACGCGTGCTCTTGTAAGGCTTTGGTTAGTTTTCTTGTCGCTTTGTTGCACTGAAATGAAATTACTATATCCCCATCCCCTACCAAAGTGTTTGAACTTTGGAAGAAAAATGAATAGCTAACTTTTTTGTCAATAAAATAATTCACATGCAGAGTTTATGAACCCAAGAAAAATGTAATATGCTGGGTGCCCAGCTAGTTTTGTTTTAAATTGGAGACAAATAGTAAAACTAAAGACTTATTTCCTTTGCAAACCACTTGGTTTTATTGTAAAAGTCAGAATATGAAGTATCTCGTTTGGGATAGAGTGTGCTTGCTCTCTGGGGCAGAGTTTTGAGAACTGTCCAATTTCTTCTCCTGGAGTTCTGTCATTAAATATTTGGACCATCCAGATCCTCAACTGGGGCTTTGCAAATGTTGTTTTAAAAAAGTTCCTTTCTAATGACATTTGTCCCTTTGGTGATCAAATCAGGATGGGAACACCAGCTTCTGCCGACAGTAATTTCCTCTTGCAAAAAAAAAAAAAAATAATATGCTTTTTCTTATTGTTGAAACCTGCTTAAAAAGAGATCTTGAGTTAAGCAAGTTCTAGGCTGCTGGGAGAACCAGATCAACTGGAAATGTATAATTTTGTTCAGAAAGAGACACCAATGTGGAAACTGCTGGTAGGGTCTGGCCTTAATCAAGTGTCTGTTGGGACCTCCACAGATGAAGGGCTCTAGACGGCAGGATGGGCCCCTGTGCCAGCAGCTTCCCCGTCCCTCTGCCTTGGCTGAAACTCTCTGCCACTGTCGAGAGCTCATGCAAACTGTTACCTGGGTATTTGTCCCCTAATGACTCACAAGGAAACAAGTGGATTTGGGGAGTCTATGTAATCAACCTCTCAGAACTGCCTGTTGGAACAAACGGGCCACCACAGTTCCTAAGACCTGTCCCACAGCCTTTTGACTTTGGGTAGTCATGCTCTTGATTGTGACAATATGGCAGACTGGTAAACAGTTGGGGGATAGAATCATTGATGTGTTTCTGAAATGCATGACTGACTTGTGGAAAAGGCCCGGCTGTAGTTCGACCTCCACTGTGCTTAGCTGGAAGAACAGGCTAGCTCTGCAGGATGTCTCCTGGGGACACTGCACAGTTCTTACCTCACTTCTGTAAATAAGGTTTGTGAATCTGTTTGTAATGTGAAAAATTCATAAGATAACATTGATATTTTGATTTGTAAGATTTCTACTTGGTAGATTTAATTGAAAAGTAAAATTAATTTATTTTTATATGTTCAGGGGAATTTTAAAGAAAGTCAAACCTTTTGTAGATAATTTAAAAGAATCAGTGTGGTTTATTTTACTTATTTAACCCACTGGTGGTTATTCTGTAACAATTTGTATAAATGGTAAATTTTGAATGTGCTGTTATTTTCCTTAGATGTAAAATTCCATATGTATTAAAATGTACAAAGTTTTTGTTAATAAAATTTAACGATGTTTATAGCTCCATGCCCTTCTTTTTTTGGAGAGGTGACTGTCCTAAACCCATGGACCCTTATGTGTGCAGTGCTCCAGTACTGTGGGTGTGTTTGTTGGGAGCATCAGTACAATACCGTCTTGGAGTTGTCTGACTTCTCAGGGGGTGGGCTGTGCAGAACATCATGGGGCAAATTAGCTGTGTCCAGAGATGGCAGGGGATCGTTGAGAGAGGGGAGGGTGTCCAGAGATGGCAGGGGATCGTTGAGAGAGGGGAGGGTGTCTAGAGATGGCAGGGGATTGTTGAGAGAGGGGAGGGTGTCCATAGTAAGAGGAAGGAGACTCTGCTCCAGAGGAGATGTTTGATTATAGTACATTAAAACAAAGTAGCATGCACACTTGACTGAAGACTAAGTTCTCTTGTTCAGAAGTAAACTAGGGCATTCTCTGAAAGAGAACACACGTGTGTTTAATGACTCTCGGGTCAAGGATGCATCAGAACATAGAGGTGTGTGTCATCTCTTCTCAGTAATTTGGAGTTGAATGAACAGAAAAATCCTTTCCTAGGTTCCTAACTATTGTATTTTAATTGAGACGGGCCTCATGTATCCTGGTCAACTCACCTCAGTATGTAGCTAAGGATGGCCTTGAACTTGTGATCCCTTTGCTTTTGCTTTTGCTTCCTGGGTGGTGGGGTTGCAGGTATGTACAGTCCACCTGGTTTATGTGGTGCAGGTACTCTCCTGTGTGAGTTCCATCTCCATCCCTGAGCTCCCAACTTTATTAAGGACTGAATGTTAGATTTGTGGAGAGACAAATGAAAACTTGACTTTAGGAAGGCTTTTCTGTCAGCCAGATGTGGTGATTCACCAGATGTGGTGATTGACACCTGCCACCTGCAAATCCACCTTCATCTGCTGCTTCAGAGGACCGAGGTTCAGTTCCCAGCCTTTACATGGTGATTCAGTTATCTGTAACTACTTCCAGGGCGTCTGACACACTCTTTTGACCTCAGGCTACAAAGCACACAGATGGTACATGTATTACATGCATGCATGCAAATACCCAAGATTGGAAAGAAAAAAAGTAATTTTTTTAAACAGGAAGGCCATGTCTGGTCTTCAGTTGGCAGTCCTGGTAACTCTGGGATCTGTAGGCTTGTTCCATGCTGCCTGTTCACCCAGTTGTTAAACTGTCAATTAACAAAAGGAAGGGAGGAAGGAAGGGAGGGAGGGAGGAAGGGATACTCCTCATAGCTTTGTGGATTGTTTCTGGAAGCAGTGGTCCTGACTTCAGGGAGCATCTTAGGATGAAGTGCCCCTTTGCTGTTGCTAAGTGGGCCGTGTGTTTCTGACTAGAAATCCACAGAGACAGGTACAGCTGGGCTGGAGCTCAAGACAGGAGGTTCGGGAGTTCAAGGTTGTCAGAATGCAAGGTGATCCAAGTTCAGGGCTCATCTCGGCCACTTGAGATCCAGTCTCAACAAAAAACCAACAGAAGAAAAAATGGACCAGCCACCCGAGAACCATCCTTCTGTGTAAATTAAAACAAGCCTTTGATGAGATGGCAGCGGGCAGCTGTGTTTCTGTAGCACTGGCACCCGGGCCTTGGAGATGGTAAGCAATTCCTTCACTCCTGAGCTGCGTCCCCAGCCAGGAAGCTCTGTAAGTCTGAGGTCCATGTCATGTTGCAGCCTATACTTCCTCTTGCCCAGTGTTTGCAGCAGGAGCAAGGACACCCAGCACCTACCCCTAGACAAAAGGAGACTCCTGTTACTCTTCACAGTCTTGATGATATATATATGTACACACATACCTGTTTTCAAACAGTTTCCCTGTTCCTTATAGTTAACATATTATATATACATAGATTTTTTTGGCCAGCTTTTATTACTTGAATAAAATGGTGTACATGATTTAGTTTAGATTTTAAGAACTGAATTTTGTTTGCTTAATTTTCTGGTCATCCTGTATGGTTCCCACCACATGGACACCTTGGCTGCCTCTGCAGAGGTTCTGTGGGGGTTGGGAGGAGGAATGTGGGTGGGGAACAGGAGGTGGGTGGGCCTGCAGCCTGGAGCCTGATGGAGGGCAGGAAAGAGATTGATAAACATGTTGCTAAGTTTCTGTGAACGTAGCTGAACATGGGAACCCGAGAGAGGCTGACAGGAAAGCAGTGAGTGGAGAGAGGCAGAGATCAGAAGAGAAATATTGTCACTAGGAGCTCAGGAAACTCCTATCAACTTACTCTTCACTGGCCTTCTGCTTGCTGCAAACTTGGATCCCTGGAGCAGCCTGAAGTGGCCTAAACTGGGTTTTCTAGTCTGGGTCACAACTACTCACCTGAGACACGGTCCCTCCCCACCTGAGACTGTTCCTCCTGGCTGGCATGTGCTGCCTTTCCTGCAGCGCCCCCTGGTCTTCACGTAGCCCAGCTTTGTTGCCAGTTTTATAGATTAGGGAGGCAGTGGTTTAACCACGGAAGGCCACATAAATGTTACGTAAGAATTATCTGAGGCAGCTAATGTCTGTTCTCCCAGTTTTCTGTAGCTGTCAGGGGTAGGGTTTCCCAGATGGAGCTGCTGTAGAACTCTGAGACCCTCCCCACTGCAGCAAGCCAGCCTCCCTGTTCTCCGGGGTCCCACATCTGCTCCTGGGCCCCAGTGGGACCTGGGTGCCGCTGCATTGGCCCTGCATTAGTGTGGGCCAGGATGTGGAGTGTGTTGGCCTAGGCACACTAGCATGGCCACAGAGCCAAAGGAAGGTCTGCCAGTTCAGACGGGCAGACACTAGTAAAGAAATAGGAGCCACAGTAGGACTGGGGATTGGGATGATTTGAAGAATTCAGGGGAGAACATGTGGGCGGGTCTGGGTAGAAAAGCAAGTTTGGGCCCCTTAGGGATCCTGAGCCCTACCACAATGGACTGAGTATTCAGTATGGCACAGGCTCCATACCAGTCAGGAGTAGCTTTTGAATCTATCAGCTTGTTTTCAGTCTCTCTCCTTTCTCCTCCCTGTGTATTAGTTACTTTTCTCTTGCCCTTACAAAGTGTCACCACCAAGGCAACTTCTAGAAGGGAGCGATTGTTTGGGGCCTATGGTTCCAGAGGGATGAGAGTCCGCGATGGCCTAATGGAGGTGACGGCCACAGACAGGAAACGGAGCTCCCCTGAAATGACTTGGAACCTCAAAGCTTGCCCCCAGTGACATACCTCCTCCAGCAAGGCTGCACTGCCTAGTTCTCCCCAAATAACCATGAAGGATGGGTGGCTTTTAACGTCTCTGTTGCTGTGAAGAGACACCATTACCATGGCAACTCATAAGGAAAACATTTAATTGAGGTGGCAGCTTACAGTTTAAGAGGTTCAGTCCATTATCATCCTGGTGGGTGGGACATGGTAGCGTGCAGGCAGATGTGGTGCTGGAGAAGGAGCTGAGAGTTCTACATCTTGACCTCAGGCAATAGGAAGTGAACTGAGACACTGGGCATGGCTTGAGCATATATGAGACCTCAGAGCTCACCTCTACAGTGACACACTTCCTCCAACAAGGCCACACCTCCTAATAGTGCCTCTCCCTATGAGCTTATGGGGGCCAATTACAGTAAGACTACCACAATGGACTGAGTATTCAAATGCCAGACTTATGGGAGACATCAAGACCACCACACCCTGGCTGGTCTGGAAATAGATCATCCTACCATCTAAGTTCTAGGATGACAGGCATGCAGCACCACACCCAGCTTCACGGGGTGCTGGGGATCAAACCCAGGCCTTCATTAATGCTAGGCAAGTACTCTACCAATTGAGCTACAGCCCCAGCCCAGAATTTGGGGGCATTTACGTGTACTTAATTCACATAAAAGAATGTGAACCTGGAAAATAAAAGATGACTTCTAGTGATTTTCTCAGCCTCAGAAAATGCCATGGGTGCAGTACCTGGGTGTACAGTGACGTGAGCAGGAGTTTGGAGGTAGAGAACCAGGACGTGGTTAACTAGCCGAAAAGTAAGTGCCCAACAGTGAGTGGGAGGCCATGCCTGATGTTCCCTAACAGGTCCACAAGTATTTCCAGAGCAGGGGCCCTGCAGAAAACCACTCCGGGGTTTGGTCTCCTTTAACAACATCCCGCAGATGGCTGAAAGCAGCAGGAACAGCACTGGACCGGAAGCTGGAGGCTGAGGCCAGAGTGCATCATGGCCAGGCCTGGGCCAGTAGGGCTGGCTCCCTTCTTGTGTCTGCACATGAGGAAGAGTTGGAGAACTGACTTCCTAGGGCTCTTCCCTGAGGAGCTCATGGCCTTCAGGAGGCCAGCTGGGCCTGCTTGGCGAAGCTCACCACACTGGGTCTGCTGACTTTTGTCCAGCCACCCTTCCCACCAGTTGTATGCAATTCTGCTATAATCGTGTGTACCTTGGGGTGCCTGAGAGGGGCTAGATATCATAGGTGGGGAAGGATTGGGGGAGCTGGCTTCCTCAATGTAGCCATGGGGAGCTGCCATCCCTGCTGGGTGCAGGCCTTCCAGTGGGCCTGCTTTTAAGGTCACCTCTGTGCCTGTCCATACCCCTCCCCCGTTTACTGCCCCGTCAGTAAACCTAATGAACTCAGTGGTTACCCGACGTGAGCTTTCTGTTGTAGTCATACAAAAAAATCTTGTAAGAAAAGCAAGGAATTTTATTTAGAGGTTTTAAGTTCATTTATTTGTGTGCATGTGTATATGTGGGCTGTGGCTGTGGGGTGCGTGTGTGGTGATTACAGCACAAACTCGGAGGTCAGAGAACAACCTTTGAAACTGGTTCTCTCTTCCCATGATGTGGCTCCTGGAGAGTGAACTTGACTTGCTGGGATTGTCAGCCAGTGACTTTATCCACCGAGCCGTCTCCCAGGCCCCCACATTCTCTTTTTTGACAATCGAATTTATTTGCTTTCTCTCAAATTCTGCCTGATGTGTCTGTTTGTTTGGTTTTTTTCTCCTTGGCTGGCTAACAGGAGCACTCAAGGGTTTGGCACTCCAGCCCGCTCCCCTGGGGCACTCGGTTTCCTCTGTAAGAGGCTCCATGCTTTCTGTGGCCCTTGCACACACAGGAGGCTTGGGATACACCCTCCCTCTTGACAGCCAGTTGAATCTTCTGTGTATGTGAATCCCACTAGGGATTCTCCTTGGGACCAGTGACCTGGGCCTTGGAGGATGGGCCACTCTGGCCTCCTGGCTTCTGTGCGCCTCTCCAGAATTCTCCGTCCCCACTGGGCAAAGAAGCCAGTGTTCCGAGAGCTTCTCCCAGTCTGCAGTGCCCAGCTCTGACATTGCACTGGGGTACACAGTCCCTTGGTCTTGGGTTTTTCTGTGGAACTTCAAGGGGAGAGACACGAGTCATGTCCTGACTAGGCATGGGCCCTGCAGCTCACTTGTGCAGTAGCTTCTTTGGTTCTTAAGTAGGTTGTGTAAAATGGAAGCCCAGGACAGTCAGGACAGGCTTGGGCAGCCTGAAGGAAACAGGGGCTACCAGGACCGCCATGCTGGCCCAGGAGAGCCTCCAGCCGCCTCGGGTAGCAGCAGCCTTGCAGGAAGGAGGAACGTGCTTATGTCTGGAAGGACATGAAGTAGCCAGGCTGGGAGCAGAAGAGGTCTTGGCCTACCCTCAGTAGCACAGCTGAGATCCGATCTCTAGTATGGGGGTCAAGCTACTTCTGAACTCTCCACTCCCACAGGTCTGTCTCTCACCCATCCTCCCTACTCCACTGTCTGCTAAAGGCCAGGGTGATGGTGGCACAGCCCCAGGGGACTGTGGGTATTCGGGGACAGCCCTGTCCCCTACAGAACTTTGTTTCTAGAGAAGGCAGCGTACCCCAGGCCTCAGCTCTTCAGCAACACCAGTGAGTGCCCTGGCTGTACTAGTGGGCTGTACTGGTGGGCTGTTGGGATGGCCAGGTTCTGATCGGAAGTGGGCGGGGTCAGTATGCCGCCTGCACCTCCGTGCTGTGTTCATCCTAGTCGGGATTATACCAGACCAATAACTCACTGGTAGATAGTTATCTGCCTCTACCAAACGTCTGTTGTGACGTGCCAGCAATGGAGCCCAGGCCTAGGCCTTCCGCATGCTAAACCAACACTCCAGTGTTATGCCACTGAGCCACATTCCCAGCCCTGGTCCCACTTTTAACACCAAGGACCATAGGCAAAGATTAAATTTCCAAGAGGAATTTTGTAAGCCAAGCTCTGGGGCCTACGCAGGATCGCTTGGCTCGGCCTGGGAGGAGGGGACTGGACCTACCTGGACTGAGTCTACCAGGTTGATCTCAGTCCGAGGGGAAGGCTTTGCCCTGGAGGAGGTGGGAATGGGGGTGGGGAGGGGGGAAGGTGATGGGGGGCGGAGGGGGGAGAACAAGGGAATCCGTGGCTGATATGTAGAACTGAATTGTATTGTAAAATAAAAATTAAAAATTAAAAAAAAAATCAAAACAGGGTGGGGTAGGCTGAAGATGTGATGTGCCCTAACTGCAGTGATAGCTACTTGGTGAAACAGATGAGAAACAGGAGAATTTGGTTTAAATGAGGAGCTATGTCCCCTGCAATCCAACACAGTATTTCTGAGCAATGACAGAAAACCCAGGACAAGGTTTGATTATATTCCAGATATCAATCTCCGGTGAGACAGACAGGTGTCGGAGGCTTTTCTCCCCTTTTCTAGGATATCTCCTCACATGATTAACTGTGACCTTTGCTGTGTAGATTTTGGCTTTTCATGGTCTCATTTGGCATTATTTCCTGAGTGACCCTTTCCCATCCCTGTATCCTGAAGTGATGTATTGATGATGTTTGCACCTTCATGATTTACCAGCTAGGGACTAACTGTTCAACACATGAGCCTTTTGAGGGGACAGCTCATATCCAGAACTGTAACAGTATCAGACAATGTAGATGTAGTTCCCACACTGTAGGAGATTCCTTTGAATAATGCTGGAGTAGAAAGGAGACAAAATGAACATCAGTTTTATCAACCTTCAAAGCCATGGTATTTGAAACAGGTTGCACTTCCATAGACAGGCAAGAATAGGTGATTTAGGCTAGGATCTTGGAAGCATTTGGATTAGTGAATCACATAAATACCTGAAGGATATAAATGAATTGAGTTTTGCTGTTAGGTTTTTGGCCTGTGCTGGTGAATAGAGAAGAGAAAGTTAAGAGAAAGGAGTCTAGGATCTGTCTCAGTTACTGTTCTATTTCCATGATAAGACACCATGACCTATAGAAGACACCATGACTTATAGAAGAAAGAATTTATTGGGGGCTTACAGTTTCAGAAGGCTAGAGTCCAAGACCATCACAATGGGGAGCATGGCAACAGGCAGACAGGCATGGCACTGGAGCACTAGCTGGGAGCTTACATCTTGATCCACAAGTATGAGGCAGAGAGAAAGACATTGGAAATAGCCTGGGCTTTTGAAACTTCTTAGCTTGCCCCAAGGCCACACCTCTTCATCCTTCCCATACAGTTCCACCGATGGGGAACCAGGTATTCAAATATGAGCCTTTGGGAGCCATTCTTATTCCAGCCACATTGACACCCCACCCACATACAGTCCTCCAGGCCAGGCTGAAGATGCCCATCCCAGTCCTGGGGTCCACCAGCAGTGTGTCTGTGAATGCTGGCCCCACCCCTCAGCGCTCCTTGCTGATGTGGGACTCATCCCCTGCAGACTGTCTCCAGCCAGTTTCCACCTCACTGAAGGTAAGGTCTCGATGCCCTCTCTTTTCTGCAGTCCAGAAGTCTCTGCTGGCCAGGTTTCAGTGTGTATGGGCCCATGACACTTTCCTGAGTTTTCACTAGTGCTGGCTACAGAAGGTCTGGGGCCGTTGTTTTTTTTTTTTTAAATGGCACCCTTCAATGTTTGGCCCTTTTGGGAGTGTGTCTCCTGCTGCTGAGGTTTCAGGCAGTGCATTTTCCCAGCACCTTTCCTCCCCCGCTGCCATCTGCAACATTCTCTCTGTCTGTCTGGTTTTATGTCAGGGTTTCTCTATATAGCCTTGGCTGTCCTGGAACTTGCACTATAAACCAGGCTGGCTTTGAACTCACAGAGATCGGAATCTCTCTGCCTCCCTCTGCCGGGATTAAAGGCATGCACCACCACCTGGCTTGTTTTGTTTTTTTGAGACAGTCTCATGTGTCCTTGCTATCTAGCCAACTACGACCTTGAACTCCTAATTCATGTGCCTGCACCTGCCATGTCCCGGGGTGACCGACGTGTGCTATCCGTTCTGGCTTTAAAGCTAACCTGGTGGGTTTCACAGAGTGACTCATGTGACAGCAGATAGGTTGCTCAATAGGGACTCTCACCCCCCTACTTTGGCTTGTTCATTTCAGGACCAATCCAGGTACTAGATCTTGACCACTAGGTGGGACACCGTCTCAGGCCGGGCAGGAGGATGGGGGCTGCCTGTTTTCTACCTTCTGAGCTTTACCCCCCAGTGTCCCCAGGGGAGCAGAGGAGTAGCAGAATCAGCCCTTCTGTGCATGCTATTTCAGAACTTTGCTAGCACACCCCTCCCTCCATCCTACACGAAACAATTTTCTTTTCCAGAGTCCGTGGAAACCCCTCCCTACTCAGTTTTTCCAGGGACTAACTCCACAGCTATGAACTAGGTCCAGGTAACAGGGTTACAGCTGCCAGCAGGATAGAGCCTTAGCTACAGAGAACACTCATGGCTCCTTTTTATTTCTAAAAAGAATAGGTCCCCAGTCACAATCCAGACCAGTGCTGGGACCTCTCAACTTCACAGCCCACAATGGACTTTCAGGGCCTCCGTGAAAGCTACCTGGGGACGCTGCAAAGGGTTCATGAAACCTGAGAGGACTCCCGCAGACTTGGCCTGTGGGGTCACCACTGAAGCTGACCCGATTTCTAATAGCATGCGTCTCATGGACGCCAACTCAGGAATGAGGATCTGATGGGAAACCAGAGCAGAGACTCAGAATAATTGTCTTAGCCATTATCTGGAAGCTGGCCTTATTTTAGGGCCACTAATCAGTGCGAGGGGCTTTTAAACTTAAGGGTGAAATAATTGAAACCTGTTTTTACTAACTGCCTACCCTTGATCAGGTGATGTCGCTGCTGTCGCACAAGGCCTCACTCCAGCTTCCACAGCCACTCTGGGGAGTGGAGGGATACCCATGCAAGAGATGCAGCCAGGTAGAGGGCCTGACAGAGGTGGGTCCCTCCCAGGATGGACCTCATCCAGATGCAGAACTTACCAGGGCACACTCAGCCCAGGTGTCTTTGGGTCTCAGATTTCCTGAACGAAGGGGCTCCTCAGAAGCTGCGGCTCAGGTCAGGACACTGTCATCTCTACCTTGGGGTTTACAACTAAAATCAACTCTGAGATCTCTTGTACCTGTCATCATATGCTGGGTGTCAGACAGTGCACTGCTCCTGATGGGTATAGGATGTAAGTGGGAACCCCCACCCCTGCCCCAGTCCTCCTTCCAAAAACTGCATGCAGTGGAACCCGGCACCATGTGGTCCACTCCTTTCCTCACTGGTCTAGATCTGGATTCAGCCGTGAGTCTTTTCACTCTACCCTTATTTAAACCACATTTGAGGAAGCAGAGTTGGAAACCAGGCCGATGGCTTTAGTGACAAGGAGCTAGTGTAGTAGGCAAGGTGTGGTCTCGTCAGATATTGGCACCCATATTTTGTAAACAGTAAGTAGCCCCCATCAGATGCTAAAGCAACTTGCCCAGGTCGTAGGTTAGCTGAAGGCAGCTGGGTCTGGGCTCCTCTGAGGTCCAGCTCTGGGCTCTCCTTCCCTCTGGCCTCCCGGGTGGCCTCAGAATGAATACAGCACACAGGCTAGGGATTCTGGGGGCACCAGGGAAGACTGGCCTCTGAAGATTGTGTACATCCAGGGAGTCTACCCATAGATCAAGGACCCCCAGGCAGGGATGTGAACTGGAGGGAGCCTATGCTGGCCTGTCAGCCTCACAACAGAGTAAAACCGAGGGACAGTCAGGAAATCTGGGCGACATGTAGATACAGAAGACTGCTCTCGAGAAGCTAGGTTGACATCCCCAACTAACACTGCATTGTGCTATGCACAATTCTGTTCTTCCAGCTGAGCTGGAGCTAAAAGTGAGATGTTTCCCATCTCCTGCCAGGTGTGGCCACACAGAGAACAGACCCCAGCATGTATATGGTGGTTGTGGAGAGGCCTCACAGGATGTCACCAAAGCATGGCTGTTGCCTAGCATCTACTCTCAAAAGGGCCCCTGGCTGTTGTCCAGTGTGAGACGGACCCATCCACTGTTGAAAACACAAGAATGTCGTTTACTCAAAGAAATTTCACACCCATGGAGGATGGTGCAGGGCTGGGATCACCCTGGTGAGCAGCTGTAAACAGTTCAAGGATGGGGTCTGGGGATGGGGTTGGAAGGTCCCTCTCATGGGGGACATTAGGCAGGTCTCTGTCATCTAATAAGGGCAAAAAGATTCCACGTGGGTGGTAATTCCAACTTCTCCCTATCCTAACAAACAAACAAGGTAGTGGAGAGCGTGGGAGGAGACTTGCTGGCTTACATATCTAAGTCAGAGTAGAAAACTACGGAGAGGGAGGGCGCTGGTGGAGGTGACTGGCAGGGCGCAGGGGGAACCTCCTGGTGAGAACAAGGAACTCCTGGGCCCTCTGTTTCCCAGGGTGTCGGTATCTGGTGCTACAGAAGGGTCACGGATAGTACAACTGGCTGGGTTGGTGCTCAGGTGTGTCCCTTTTGGAGGTACCTCCCGCTCTGGACCACAGCCCTGTAGGGGTACTCTCCCCTGCCTCTGGGGGATAGTAGTCTAGTACATGTCCTTGTTTGGTCCTACAGCAACCTGACCCTTCCGCATTCAGACTTCCTATAGGGAATAGCTCTTTCTAGAAAGCCCAAATGGGCACAAGGAGCCATGCTGGGGCCTTGTGTTCTTAAAGAGCCTGGGGGAGGTAAAATACTAGTTGTATTTTAGAAAGTGCTTCTGGAGAAGGGTCTCACTATGTAGCCCTGGCTGGCCTAGAACTCACTGCATAGACCAGGCTGATCTCAGACTTGCAGCCCCTCCTGGGGGCTAGGATTACAGGTGTGTATCACCACGTCCTGCTGAGATACATTTGGTTACAGAAAGCCAGAAACTTGTACAAGGAACCACACAGTTCAGAGCACTGTGATGGAAGGGTGACGTAGCAGGGTGCTCAGAGATGTCACACGCTGCGTGATAGACAGGTCTGGAGCTGGCCCTCATCCAGGACAATCTACTGTTTCTCCCCGATGCTTGTCTGCCCTAGATGCGTGGGGGTGGGATGGGATCAGCCTGGAATCTATAGTGGCCACTTCAGAGGCCACCAGCTCCCAGGCAGAAGCCCCGGGGAAGAGCTGCTGGCCCAAGACTGGCCAGCCCTCGGCTTGGTCTGTGGAAAGGATGGGCGACAGCACTCCTGGGTTCTGGCTGTCTTGTGTGCCCCACCTCTGCCAGGCAGACGTCATCTCCATGTCTCCATGGTCCCTTTTCCACAGGGCTGAGGGGACGAAACTCCTGCTCCAGGACACAAGCTGTTCAGCAGCTTCTCTACTTTTCAGCTGCTGTTTTGGAACCAACTGAGTCTGCGATGCAGTTCCCACGAGGTTAGAGGCGTGAGGCTTCCTTTGTTGTCTGAGCTCAGGGAAGGACATGGCTTTACCTAGCTCCATGTCCTCCTCCTGCTTACAGGGCAGAGGTGACCTTTGCCACCATATTTCAATCCTTAGAGAAAAGGACACCTTTACAGACATCAAATCATTTTCCTTAAATATGTTCTGGATACTTGCCTGCTTTTCTGGTTACATATACTGCATGTACCAGGGAGTGACAAGTTTTAAAGGCATGCTTGGCAGATGTGACAGTTCAAAGAGCAAGAAGGCTTGAGAGGTGTAACAGGACAACAGACATTAACCTAGACACTTAGCAATGGACCCTTGTCTTGGTTCCCAGAAACTCCATGCTCTGTTAATTCAGATACTTTTCTGAACCAATTAAGATGGCCTCTCTGCTGTCTGCCAGTCAGCCTGAGGTCAAGCTGATGTATCTCTGTGAGTGGCCTTGGCTCACTGCTCAGGCCTAGCAATGAATTAACTGTGTGTTCTTCAGTTACTTTTCTGTTGTTTGAGACAGGGTCTCACTATGTAGTCCTAGCTGTCCTGGAACTCACTATATAGACAAGGCTAGCCTCAAATTCACAGGGATTCTCCTGTCTCTGCTTCCTGAGTGCTGTATGTATGCCACCACACCCATCTCCTTTGGCTACATTGTTAAGAGACCATATTAGGTTGGAATTCTTCCATGTCAGTTCATTCACATGCTCCCCTATCTGCCTGGCACTAGAACACTGTTGGAAATCTCCCAGCGAAGTAAACTGCACTGAGGGCAAGTTACATCTGCAAACACCCCAGCCCTCCCCCAAAACACAAGGCCTGTAAACAGCACCACAGAGCATCTATGATTGACTGATTTTGATTTTTTTTTTTTAAACTAAGGCACATGACGTTTGGAAATACTGAGGTACAAAATGTAAATTTCTGCATGAGATTTCTGAAGTACTCATTTGGAAAACGATGGCAAACGATCATCTTCCGGAAGGTTCAGCTTTTAGCTTGTTTTTTCTTTTGGACCAGTTCAACCAGCAGCTTGTATCTAGCAATACAGTCTTCCTGGAGAAGAAAAAAAAAGAGGGGCAACAGTTACTTCCATGGGTCGGTGCCCTGTGTAGTCAGCTCACCGTGACCTAATTGCTGACTAGTGCCCAGTCCTAATGGCAAAGCCTAGTGTTCATTTCCTTTGGAACCTTCTGGATCACCCTGGGAAAGCCCAGCTGGTCCCAGGCAGATCTGGCCAAGATGGCGGTGCTGAGCACGGGGTGATGGTCGGGCCCAGTCTGTGAGTGCAGTCATCGTGACAGTCGCATCACGATGGCATCCACCCCTCACCACAGCCCATTCCAGAGACACCGAGCCCCAAGGCAGCAACGCTCTCCTCCTCCTTTGGATGTGCTGCTCCCTGGCGGCTGCTGGAACCTTCCTCTGTAAGCCACAGCACACAACTACCCGGAAGGTGGCCAAGTCTTCCTCACACTCTCCCCAGTCCCACCTGTCACCCAGGCCATCAGGTTACAGAATGGCAACCTCAGGACTCCCATGGCTTAGCTCCCTTGCGTGGAACTAAGCCCAGACAAGACCACGGGAAGGGCCTCGTTGTCCTCAGGTGGGCACTGGGTGTATTTCAGAATACCAATGCTATACTATTGTAGGCATGTTAACTCGGGGTCCAGAGCACATGACTGTTGTTCTAAACAGGGTCCTTAATCTGGTGCCTGGGACAGGGGACAGGTACCTACTCTCCTGGATTTCAGTGCAGCAGTATTGGACTAGCCTCTCTCAGTGAGTGCCTCCCCACATCTCAACATCACCTACCTGCTGTGGGATGTCTTTCTCTGTGCTGTGAATATGTGCTGTTTCCATTGGTTAGTACATAAAACTGCACTGGCCTAATGTAGGGCAGGATGGAGCAGGTGGGAAATCCCAGAGAGATAGAGAAAGGAGGAAGGAGAGGGGGAGAGATGCCAAACTGCCGTCTAAGGAGCAACATGTAATGGGACGCAGGTAAAGCCACGGAGCACGTGGTGATACATAGATAGAAATGTGTTAATTTAAGATGAAAGAGCTAGCTAGCAAGAAGCCTGCCATAGGCCATACAATTGGTAATTAACATAAGCCTCTAAGTGATTGTTTAATAAGCAGCTACAGGACCACAGGGCAGATGGGACTGAGAAACTTTAACTACACCCACCCACGTCTTCAGAGGTCAGCACAGCTGTGGCCAGTTTCAGCATTTAACCCTCAACAGGACAGTGTGGGTCATCCTGAGCTGAGCAGGCAGTGGTAGAGTGTCTCCTGACAGGACCTGAGCTCCCACCACGGCAGCTGGCGTGAAGTCACCTCAGTCAGGGTGGCACCACTGGTCGGTGGGCAGCCGTCCTGCAGTGTTGGGTCACAGCCAAGGCTAAGGGATGCCTTGGGCCTCCTCTCTGGTGGAAACAGGAAGGTTCCAATCCCCTTCTGGTGCTTCCATTTTGAGCAAAACTCAATTTATCACACATGTAAATGGCTGAGTCTGACAGAAGTTAGAGAAACTTGGAGACATAATTACTTCTGGCAGACCAACGGGAGAGACTGGGAGACTTTGTGCTTCCTAAAGAGATCAACTGTTAATGGTTTAGTTTTCTCCCCAGAAACTCTCAGTTTCATCATCATAAAGTAGGTGACAGATAACTAGGCCTGTGCAGGCAGGGACACGCATGGCCACAAGCTAGGTTTTCCAACATAGAATTTCAATTAAAAAAAAATAAGTATGTAAATGAGCATCAACGTGCCCAGAGGCTCCTTCTGATTTCTCTGCGCTCTGGTGTCTCACAATTGAGCACAGCCTGCAAGGAAGAAGCTGTGCTGGGGAGAAAGGCTGGCTTTGGAAAGATCCAGGAGCTCCATGAATGACAGGGAAGCCAAGCCTGGCTCTCAGCAGGGCACTTCTTCCTGCTTGCATTTGAGAATGATGTGTTAGCAGCTGCCTACAGCTGAAGATGAGAGAGTCAGTCATCAATGGCCTGAGTCCCAAGAGTCAGTCAAGTGTCAAAGGTCAACTGTGTGGCGACCTCACATAACACCCAGCCTTTAGCTGGTGAGGCGCCACCACAGATTCCAAGTTCATGCCGCTGCAGAACTGGGAGTTAGCACGACAGAGTAGAGTTTATGTTAAAATATATATGTGTGTGTGTGCGCGCGCGTGTCCACAGATACCCCGTGTAAACAGGTACACATTCCACGCTACCATATCTATAATAAACTATGTATTACACTGACGTGTGTGTGTGTGTGCGTGTGTGTGTGCGCGCGCGTGTCCACAGATACCCCGTGTAAACAGGTACACATTCCACGCTACCATATCTATAATAAACTATGTATCACACTGGCGTGTGTGTGCGTGTGTGTGTGTGCGCGCGCGTGTCCACAGATACCCCGTGTAAACAGGTACACATTCCACGCTACCATATCTATAATAAACTATGTATCACACTGGCGTGTGTGTGCGTGTGTGTGTGCGCGCGCGTGTCCACAGATACCCCGTGTAAACAGGTACACATTCCACGCTACCATATCTATAATAAACTATGTATCACACTGGCGTGTGCGTGCGTGTGCGTGTGTGTGTGTGCACGCATATTTGTGCAGCTGTGGCTAGAGCGCAGCTGTGGAAGTTGGGACAACCTGAGGGAGCTGGTCCCTTCTTTCCACTGTGTGCATTCCAGAGACGGACCCAGTCATCAGGCTTGATGGCAAGCACCCTCTCCTGCTGAGCCCATCTGGCCAGCCTGAGTTCTGTTTTACTGATGGCAGGATTTCTGCCTCAGTAGTGTGCAAGTTCACAAGCTGAACGGAGACTGGAGACGACTGTGAAACACAAGGTCCAGTGGCTAGCGGGGCACAGAAAAGATGGGAGCCAGCAGGGGAGCATGGGTACAGGCACTTCAGCGGGGAGTCCCTTGTGACCCACCTTACTCTTAGATGGGACACACTTGGCTATTTTGTCCCAGCGGTCGGAGGCTCCTTTTGGGTACTGCTGTAATGCCAGTTCCAGAAGTTTCTGCTGACTCTGAGTCCACGCTTCCTCTGTAGCACGAGTTCTTTCTTTTCTCTGGTTCTCTTCATCACTGGATTCGTTTTGTTCTGCTATATCAAAGTCTTTTTGCCTCTTTCCTCTTAGCTTCTCCTCTGGCTCCGCTCTGGTTACTGCCTCAGCCATTCTGGCTGACTTCCGCCTCCGAGGCCGGGCTTCGGCGGCCACTGTCTCCTGCTCACCCTCAGCTGTCTCTGGCCCCTCAGCCTCCATGGTCCCTGCTGAGTCCTCCCGCTGGGTGATGATATCATCTGGCAAGGCTGTGGCAATCTTGATGGGCCTGGAATTCTGAGCATTTGACTTCAGTTCAGAGAGCCTGACCATTCCTAGGAAGACCACAGAACACGGGAAAAAGGCCATCGTACCACGACACACCGGGCAATGTGACAGACATTTCACACACACTGCTTGCTTTACCTTTTACACCATCCACCCCATTCTTACAAACAAGGGAAGGAATTCTCTGAAAGCAGCAGGGACAGGAGTTTGTCCTTGTCCCTGCTCTGAGGGATCAAGGGTATGTATGGCCAGGTTGTGATCAAAGAACAGGACCTTTTAGAGAAGGAAACCCGATACTCATTAGACAGGGGAGGGCATTCTCTATAATCTAGGTTTCATTAGTTCTATTAGCATAGTTAAAATAAACTAGGCAAGCTCTGCACTGTGCCTCCTCTGAAGGCAAGCACTGTACAGATAGAGCATTCTAGTAACTATCAGGAGAGCTCTCACCACTATATTTCTTGTGCATTTATGGAGGCCAGAGTGCACCCTGTGGGGCTCTGGTCTCCCCTGACACCACGTGGGTCCCAGGGATTGAACTCAGGTGGTCAGGCATGGTGGCAAGTGCCTCTACCTGCTAAGCCATCGCCCCAACCCAAGGTGAATTTATTTTATTTTATTTCTGAGATACGTTTCTCTGTGTAGTCCTGGCTGTCCTGGAACTCAGAGGTGCACCTGCCTCTACTTCCAGGTGAAGTCTTCAATGCAGGGCAAGGATCTTACTAAGAGGCTAACCCTTTACCTCACAAAGGCAAACAGACAAACAGGAACAAGCTGTGTCCAGTCTGCACTGGACACTGCACTGGCAGCAGACTCTCTAACCGTGGGGTCTGCTATGATGTTCTACAGCGCACTTGCTATGTCTCTAGCAAGGAGCCATATTGAAAACCTCATTTAATTCTACTTACTTTCAGCCTCAGTTAACTTACTTGTGTGTGAGTGTGTGTGTGTGTGTGTGTGTGCGCGCGCGCATGCATGCCCATGGGTGTGGAGGTCACAGGCCGGCATCAAGTGTCTTTCTCTAGCAATCTCCATTTTTTCCCTTCTCTGACCCTGGAGCTCACTAGTTCAGCTAGAACGGCTGGCCAACAAGCCCGGGGTCCTCCTGTCTTCAACTTGCCAACGGTGACATCACAGGTACATGATGTGTACTTAGCTTTCTCACATGGGTGCCAAGGACTGAACTCAGGTCTTCATGGCTGTGTGGCAAGCACTTTACAGCTGAGCCATCTTCCCAGCCCTAAGCTTTCACTTTAAATAGCTGAGGATGCTGGTTGTGTGTCTAGCCTTTTTGGAGGATAATTTGTCAAATGTAGGTAAATCTTAAAATATACTTACTTTAATTCATGGATTATATCCATGTACCAATCAATAATACGTCATTTAATTATCAAACATACCAAAGGAGAAAATCAATATAAAGATAAAGGTGAAAATATTACTATATATATAGTTTGTTTGTTTACCAAGACAGGGTTTCTCTGTGTAACAGTCCTGGCTGTCCTGAAACTCACTCTGTAGACCAGGCTGGCCTCAAATTCAGAGATCCACCTGCTTCTTCTAGGTTTAAAGGCTTCCACTACCACACTGAGCTTAAAAATGTTTTTGAAGTAAACTTTACTGCTTGTCAAGAACTGTTGAATTCTTAGTCTCTAAAATATACATCACTATCCGCTTCTGAAATTCTCATCCAAAGTTCCACTTTCCTTGGGGAAGAGGAAGGCTCTGGCTTGCAGTTTCACCAGCCCGCCCTTTGAACACCTGGAGCATGGATAAAAAGAAACAGAACTCAAGTCCCAGTAGCCCTTGAATAGTTCTTGGTAGTCGGTCCGCTCAATAGACAGTATGCTGCTGGTCACCATTGTCTGGTTGCAGACTGACAGACATACAGTTGAAAATTTCTCTACCTCACACCTCACAATAAGAAAGTGACACTGGCTGTGCTCATGGCCAGACTCTGTAGTGGTGGCTGAAGGGTGTCCTTTGTTATCATTTGAACATGGCCCTTTCCTACCTAGCAGCATTGTCCACCACCACAGGCCTAAGTTCACCTTGAAAGACCTGGCAGTCAGGACTCACCCTTCATATCTGATGCCACTGCAGACTGAGAAAGCTTCTGAACTGTCCTTACACCTCCAGGAAACAAAATACTGGGCTAATGAGATGGCTCTGAGGGTAAAGGTGCTTGCCACTAAACCTGGCAATCTGAGTTTGACCCCAGGACTCAGATTATGGAAGGAAAGAACAGATCTCCCTCCTCCCCAGGTTGTCCTCTGGCTTCTACATGCACAAGTGGCACACACATAAACACATGCACGCATACATACATATATACATACATACATATGTACATACATACAGCAGGAGAATTAGAAGGAGTGATATGGCCGGGCGGTGGTGGCACACGCCTTTAATCCCAGCACTTGGGAGGCAGAGCCAGGCGGATCTCTGTGAGTTCGAGGCCAGCCTGGGTTACCAAGTGAGTTCCAGGAAAAGGTGCAAAGCTACACAGAGAAACCCTGTTTCGAAAAACCACAAAAAAAAAAAAAAAAAAAAAAAAAAAAAAGGAGTGCTGTGGCGGGGCCTGGCACAAAGCGGCATACTGTAGGATGACAGCTGTCCCCAGTGCTGTCCATCTGTGGGTGGCCAGCATCAGCACGATGTCTCTCTACCCTGCATCAGAACTGCCTCTTTCTAGTTCTGAGGCCTTGGGCCAACAGGAAGAATCAGGGTACTAGATGTCTTCTAGGCAGAAACCGCAGCCTCAGATAAACACGCAGGGATTCCAAACTGACTGCTTTCTCAGACTACTAAGTGAAGTAAAATGGTACCGCAGCAGTTTCACTGACAGTGCTGACAAAACAGGTAGAAAAAGTACGGAACACTGCATAACAGCAAGTTGGCAGTTAGCTCCCAAGTCTATTTATTATGGACTTCTTCCACCAATCAGTCTCTTTCCCTCCGAGCTGAGGACTGAACTCAGGGCCTTCAAAGGGCTCTGAGGCTGGGTGAAATCCCCAACCCCCAAATAGTTTTCCTAAATTTTTTTACTAATTAAAAATTTTACTTTATTTGATGTGAATGCGTGTATGCATGTGCGTGCATGCGTGTGTGTGCACATGCCATGGAGCACGTGTGACAGAGGACACTTGTGAGTTCTTTTCTAACATTTGGGTCCTGCAAATTAAACCCAAGTTGTCAGTCTTGGCAGCAAGTGAACTTTTATCTGCCAAGCCATCTTGTTTACACACATCAGCTGTTTTTGCAAACAAATGTAACCTCCCTCAACACACACTCATACATGTAGTTCAGGCTGGACTTTAACTTGTTATAACGGAGAACGACCTTGAACTCCTAATCTTTCTGCCTCCACATCCTAACAACTAAGATGTGATATCTGTACTGAAATGTGATGATGTTAATAAAGCTTGCCTGGAGGTCAGGGGGAAAAAGCCAGATATTTTAAGTAAACACAAAAGTCAGGCAGCACACGCCCTTAATCCCTTAGCAGGCAGGACCTCTGTGTGTTCAAGGCCACACTAGGGAACAGAGCCAAGTTCTGTTCCTTTAATCCCAGTACCAACCACAGAGGCCTGGAGGTCTGTGTAGACAGACAGACAGTGACAGAGCTGTGTAGGAAGAGGAAGTGAGGTAGCTGGGCTAAGAGAGCCAATGAGAGGACAGAACAGCAAAGCAATAAAGGCGTGGGTAGACAGGAAGTAGCGCGTATTTGGACGCTGCAGAGCTGGTGAGGTAGGTTGGCTGGTGGCTTTCCCTGTTTCCCCGATCTAAGGCTTTCAGCCCTACTCTGGCTCCGTGTTTTGGTTTTAAAGACCGTTTTAGAAACCCAGGTATACTAGGATGGCAGACAGGCGCTATCACCATTTCCAGTTACAGTCGTTTTGGCCACAGAATAACACACATAAAATAATATAAATAATATATAGAATATGAAAGATGCATATAAATAGATGCTTTCCTGCAACACAAATCTATTTCCAAATAGTTACTTTCACATTCATTGTTAAAAAGTCACCTTCGCTTCCCTGAAACATTTTATCTTAATATCTGGAGCCAAGTTTAGAACTTTTATTGATAAAAGGTGTGAAATTTTAATTCATTAACTTTTTAAAGTATTTGCTTAACCTACTAGGTGCCTCTGGATAGCATGGAGCAGTCCCAAGCTTGCTCTCCCTGGCATTCAGAGAGCACCACTCTCTCTCAGAGGTGGTGAGGGATGAGGTTGTCTGAGGCTGTAGTGAGCTAGAGGACGCTCACGTCAGCTCAGGAAAGCCAGGCCACTGCCAACCCCTGCTGTCTCTGATGTCTCAGCCCATAAGGGACATCTGCTCTTTGATAACTGACGGTGAGTCTTTGGCTTAATTCTGGAGGTTACATAAAAGAAACCTTGTTCATCCCTCACTATTTCAGATGAAAGATAAAGCAGGAGAAACCCTAGCATGGTCTTCCTACACTGCAAAGAACTCCCCCCCCCACCCCCGCATGTGTGTATGTGCACACACACGCACACACGCGTGTGCACAGAAACACATTTTTTTTTCAAACACAGGGTCTCATCTAACCCAGACTGGCTGTCACTTTGAAGTAACGGAGGGGGGGTCTCCTAAGTACTGTGATTAAAAGAACTACTTTGTATACCTCACTTTGGAGAACAGTTTCCTAATTCTTTTTAAAGGAAAGCTGGGTATGGTCATGCCTCCAGAATCATGGAGCTACTCAGGAGGCAACACAGCAAGAGCCATGAAGATCCACGTCAATCTCTCGCTCTAACTGCAGTTGCTTTTCTTGTCTTTTTTTTTTTTTTTTTTTTTTTTGGTTTTTCGAGACAGGGTTTCTCTGTGTAGCTTTGTGCCTTTCCTGGAACTCACTTGGTAGTCCAGGCTGGCCTCGAACTCACAGAGATCCGCCTGGCTCTGCCTCCCGAGTGCTGGGATTAAAGGCGTGCGCCACCACCGCCCGGCTGCAGCTGCTTTTCAACATCCCAGGTTTTGGAGAAAGTTGGCAGTAGACTTCCTTCTTGTGATATACCGCTGTCGCTCTCTGTCCCTGTGCCCAGACAAATCGCTGGGGAGGGAAGAAGCTGACTACAGTCTTTCTTGATGCTAGAACACCACACACTGAACCCTTTCTGAGGAGACTGGGATACCCAGGGATGCTAACACTCTAAATCTTTAAACTTATTAAATATAAATTCTCAGCATCAACTGTGTGTGCAGGACCAGACTGATCCACTGTCTACGATGAACCTCTTTCAAAGACAGGATCAGTAGAGGTCTCTGGGCAAACTGCAATCCCAGTTTAAATCTGATATTTAAAGATGTTATTACAAAAAGGGGTTAACTGTGAAGAAACCTTGTCAGAGTAGTCATAAGGTAGACTGAATCTTTCAGTTGCTGGGATACATGGAATAAAACAGGTAAGGTGGGAACTCACCTGGGGAGCAGGTGACTGAGTCCTTCAGTTCCTTGGCCTTGGTTGTCACCTGTTTAAAAATATAAAAAGCAAGATATTTTACTTTCCACATGCCTTGTAAACTGATTTTTTTTTTCCATGTAAAGCCCATGTGAGGGAACAGGGTCATGGAAATCATAAAGACTGAGGAAGGCTTGAGTGAATGTGTATTGTTGACATGGTTACCAGCTGTCAAGGCCAGCTCAGACTCATGGGAGTGGTCAAGCCTTCCTCCTGAGCGCAAACAACTGACCAGAGTGTGTCCAAGCTGTCAACTGCAGAATCTTCCTCCAGGACATTAAAAGCCTGGGAATGCGCACAGAGACCTCTTACTGAGACCATCTAAGCCCCACCCCCTTGTGCTATCCATAATAAATGTGCTGAGATTCCCAGTGGTTGCAGTTGTTGGGCTATTGCGGTAGCTGGTGTGCTCTTTCAAAGTAAGCATAATGCTTCTAATCCCAGCTTTTCTGTACATGTGTCTGTCCTTTCTTTATCCCCTCGCCACTCCCAGTGAGGTCCAGTCCTAGTCTCACTGAATATAGCACCACAGGCCAGTCTACTTATTAAGGAAACTGAGGCCCAAGAAATGAAACGTCGTGCTCTGAAATGCCCATCAACAGTAGAATCAGAACCCAAATCATTTTACTAATTCCAGTGGCAGTTAATTATACTAGATTGCTTCTTAAAACAGTTTTAAAATAGCTGTGCAAATGGATCACTATTTTCACTTAGGATTTCCAGAAACTGAATGTATCTCTTCACTGTAAGATAGTATACAGTGGGTATAGTGGGGGCGGAGGTGGGGGGTAATGTTCATGCTAATGATGTTATAAGAGTTTCCACACACTAAAAAGAAACCCAAGATCACAGAAAAGTGTACCAGAGGGACATCTTTTGGTGGGTCAAGGTATATGGACCCAAGAAACAGAACAGATTCATCTATGAGTGTGGAGCCAAAGAAATAATAAATCAGTGGTATTTGCTACTTAAAAATGGTAAACTCTGCGATACTAATACCACTTTCCTCTTAAGGATGTTTTGTTTTAAAGACTTATTTTATATGTATGGGTATTTTGCCTTCATGTATTATGTGCACTACATGCATGTAGTGCCTGTGGAGGTGAGAAAAGGGTGTCATACCCTGGAACTGAATGGCTGTGAGCCACCATGTCACTGCTGTGAACTGAACCAGGGTCCTCTGCAAGAACAAGTACTTGTAACAGCTGAGCCATCTCTCCAGCCCCAACCATGCTTAAGTTGGAAATCAGCTCTTAACAGGAGGCATGGAAGATATTTAAAGCTTGGTAAAATCATGCAGATGGCAGAGTAAGAGAAACATTTAAAGTTGGTTAGAAACACTAATTTTTACCCCCGCCCGCCCCCTCTCAGATGCTACTGCCTATCTAGAAGAAGCAAGCTGAAGTTACACAGCACAACTTCCAAGTTTAACTTCCAAGTTTTCTACTGAAGAACTTTCCCCAAATCTGACTGCATTATCATGTCTCTTTTCCTTTAACCCAATAAAGTGGCCTTCCTTCTTGCTATTGCTCACTCACTGAATGCTCTCCATGAGTTTCCTTCCCTTCTGCCTGCAGCTTCTTCCTATCCACTGGATGCATCCCATAATCCTAACCCTTGACTCTAACAAGCTGCATAGGGAAAGATGGTCTTCCCAGGGCCTCCTCTTTCCCACTCCACTTGGCTTTCCCCAGAGGATCATTGTTTCCCACTCTTGAGTATCCCCTCTCTAGCCTCTGCCTCTGCCTTTCTTGACCTGACGTGAGCTCCCTGCCTTCTGTGTTTGCCAGGCTATATGGTCTCCCCCTGACTTCCTTAGAGTCTCTTTCTATCCCCCAATGCTATTTGCTATTGACATATACTGATCAAGTATATCAACAACAGTAATTATTAACCTGTGTCCCTGGTCTTGCCCATTTTATAGAAATTCAGATCTGAAAAGGGCTTCAGTAGTAAGCTGTGTACCAGACAGTGTGCATATATGCTCATTCAGAGTTAACTCTGTATACACATATCCTAACAGCAGCCATATTTAGGTATACAGCTCTTAGCCCGTTTTATAAATCTGAGGCCTGAAGAGAAAAAATAATGTGAGACAAGAAGCCTAGGCAAGAAGGGATCTAAGACTCTTGCTCTCAATCTTGATACTATACCACCTTTGGAAATGAAATCTCTTATAGGCAAAGAAACAGGTCAGGTGTTCTTTCACTATGACTACATCTCATTATGCTTGGGTCTGCTAGGTCCACAGACTAAACAAACTTCAAATAAAACCAACGACGTCTCTCTTAGAATAACTTCTCTGCTTCCTGAACAGGTCTTGCTAAGCACACCCAGGCTGGCCTCAAATTCATGCTCCTGCATGCTGGGGCTGTAGGCATGTGCTTTATATCCAGCTTGTCTCCTTTCCAACTAGTATTGTCACCCCCACTGTGGCACAAAATATAAGAGTCAGTTCTTGGGTTTTTACCTCCCTCCCTCCCAATCAGCTGCCATTTTCCTTACCATGTCAGTCTTACCGGTTCCCTCCCCTTCTAGCCTCACTCCTTGAATTAATCTTCATTCTCACTTGACTAATAGAGTAGCTTTCCCAAGTTAAGAGTTCTCACAGAATAATGTTCAGATGACAGAACTCTGACAGAACCTCAGATGGCAGATCACCAATTATTTAATAAACTATTCAAGTGCAAATGTTTCTTTGTTAACATTTCGTTGCTTGTTCTTTTGATGTCGTAATTAAGATTTTTTTTGACAAATTTCAGGTAAGGGCAATTTCCCTTATGCTTTTCTAAAGGTATAATGGTTTAGCACATACATTTAGGAAAGTGTTGATATCTTTAAAATGTAAATTCTTAGCATGGAATGGTTATATGCATTTGTAGTCTCAACTACTGGGCAGTCAATTTCATCCATATGTATTTGAAAAGGAGGTATAAAATTCCTTCATAATCTTGTTTTAAAACTTTCTGTAAGGTTGGTGGTAAGGCCTTCTTCATTACTCCAGCAATTAAAATCCTCTCACCCCAACCCTCCTCGCTGATCCTACTAAGTCCATGCCAATTTTATGGGTATTTTTATAGAATTACCTCTTGGTTTCAGTGACTTTGCTAAAGCTTTGTTTTTCTCTATTTTGTTAATTTTTTATTTGAACTGCCCCCACCCATGTATAATGAAGGTGTACTTCATTTTCTAGCCGGCTAAGCTGGCTTTGAACTCCTGGTAATTAACCGGTCTTAGCCTCTTTGAGTGTTACGATTACAAGCTGACCACCATGCCACTTTCCCAGCATCTTACGGAGAACAGGTAATGACTTGAGCTCCTTGCTTTCACTCAGCAGCACTCACTGGTAGCCCATTTTCTCCTCTATGATGAACACACAGACTGCACTCTTAAGTTCTGGTATGCTGTGTTTTCTTACTCATTTCTAAGAAACTTCTGGTTCCAGTTTATGTTTTCTTCTTTGATCCACTGGCTACTTAAAGGGACTTTATTTCATTTCCACAAATTTGTTCTATAACTCCATTGTGTATGACCTACTGATTTCTACCTTATTCTGTAGGGAGTGAAGAACACACTTAATAGTATTATCATGGTCTATCTGGGAGGATGCTCCATGTGTACTTAAGACGAATGTGTACTTTATTGTTGGACAGACTATTTTAGATCTATCTGTTTGGTTTAGTGTATCACTTAGATCTCCCAAACTGATCTGCCTTGTTATTAACTCATTAATAGAAGGTACTGAAATTCCAAACCACGACTGTTAATTTTTTTATTTTTTCCTTCATTTCTGTCAGTTTTTTTCATGTACTTTGGTGTTCTCTCATTAGGTACATTTATAATTGTTTTATCTTCCTAAATTGGCCTTTAAAAAAATTCATAAAATGTCTTCCCTTCCTCGAGTAAACGTATTTTATTTAAACCTTTACCATTAAACACACAAAGATGCATGAAGACATAGAATATATTTAAATTTATTTATTTCTATTTTATATGCATTGGTATTTTGCCTGCATGTATGTCTGTGTGAGGGGTTCAGAAGCCCTGGAACTGGAGATTCAGACAGTCTTGAGCTGCCATGTGGGTGCTGAGAATTGAACCAGGGTCCTCTGGAGAGCAGCCAGTGCTTGTAACTGCTGAGTCATCTCTCCAGCCTCTAGAATATATATTTTACCTGAACAACAAATGAAGCCCAAAAACATAACTTCAGGGAGAGCTTCTAGCCAATCTCCCAAAATGTATAATTCTTTTCTATTTTGGCCTAGATTCAGTTATTTTATATAAATGTAATACACACACCTACGTGGGTATACATGTATTTTATTTTCACTTAAGAATCTGAATTTGAGCCGGGCGGTGGTGGCTCACGCTTTTAATCCCAGCACTCGGGAGGCAGAGCCAGGCGGATCTCTGTGAGTTCGAGGCCAGCCTGGGCTACCAAGTGAGTTCCATGAAAGGCACAAAGCTACACAGAGAAACCCTGTCTCAAAAAACCAAAAAAAAAAAAAAAAAAAAGAATCTGAATTTGGCTGGATTCTTTAGTAGACCAAATCATTTGTCACTGAAATGTTCTATCTTTACGTTAAAAAAAAAAACAGTTAAAATGGCTTGACTTTCATCTCGAATCTACTTTAAAAGTTTTCCATCTCACACATGCCTTTAATCCCAGACAAGGCTAACAGAGGAAAACCCTTTCTCGACCGTCCCCCCACCCCAAAAAAAAAAAAAAAACCCAACCCAACCCAAACCAAACCAAAATCCATCTCCTGTAGTTAATCCTACATGTATTAGTTCTAGAGCTAAACCTACAAGCTGGGCAACTTGCTGGGAAGGATTTCCTACGTGGTTTGTTTTCCAAGACAAAGTATTGAGAAAGAAGCCTTTAGTTTCCCCAGGTCTTCTAACTCAGCAAGGCTTGTGAATAGAAATACAGTGCCCAGTCACATTCTGGTTCAAATACAGATGAGACTGAAAAAAAAAAAAAAAGAATTCAAACTTGGGAGATGAAAT